TACGCGCGCCCTGCCCGTCGACCTCCGGCCCCGGTCTCACCTTCCCGCCAGACTGCCGCCAATCTGCGTGCGGCCCGCTCTTCGTGCCTGCTACTGCACTGCACCCTCCCTGGTACGGTTCTCCATCTCCTTTCACTGCACTGCACCTCACTGCACCGCACGGCACCGCGCTGCACCGCACTGTACCGTGCTGCACCGCACTATACCGTGCTGCACCGCACTGTACCGCACTGCACCGCACTGCACCGCGCTGAACCGCACTATACCACACTGCACCGCACTGTACCGCGCCGTACTGCACTGCACAGCACTGACCCGCACTGCACTGCCTCACCTGGTCCTGCCCTGCACTGTTCCTGATGGCGGCGGAGCTTCACTTCGACGCTGAAGGTCAGCCTCTGGAGTTTGAGGCGTGGCTAGCCGACCTCCGCCGCCACCTCACCGGTCAGCGGCAGGATGGCCACTCGCTCTCGGCACATCTTGACGGTACGCTTCCCTGCCCAGACCCCCCTGCTGTGCTGCCCGTTGACCCCACACCTGCTGAGCGCGAGTCTACTGCGGCCGCTGCCCTCGCTCGCTCTGTCTGGCTTTCCCGTGACGCTGTCGCACAGCTTGCCATTAGCAATGCCCTCCCCCCTTCTGAGCGCCCCCGCTTTAGGTCTATCACCACCGCCCAGGCTTTCTTAGATGCTGTTATCCGGCGCTATTCCGCCCCGCCTGCTGCCTCGGTGGGTCGCCTGATCCTACCGATGCTCTTTCCTGACCTTGCGTCTTTCCCCACTGCGGCTGACCTGGCTGCCCACCTGCGCACGATAGATGAGACCTGGCGCGCTGCCTGCACTGACGCACAGCTTAGAGCCCACCAACCGCCCCTTACCTCTACCCTCTACCTGCTTGCCACTCGCCTCCCTGACCGCCTTGCCGCTGCTCGTGACCGCTTCCTTAGCATTCACCCCGGTGACCTCACCCTCACAGATTTTGTAGACACCCTGACTATTAGAGAGACCCGCCACCGCTCTCTCGCCCAGGCGAGCGGTACTGTGCCGGTCCCTATCTTTCAGGGTTGTGACCCCGCTCAGTGCACCTTCTCCGATGGTTCTGCAGCTGTGGTTGAGACCGCCGCTGCAGCGCAGATTCGTCCGGGGAAGGGTCGCCGCCCCAAGGCTGGGCGCGGCGGAGGAGGTGGGGGTGCAGGTGGAGGTGGTGGTGGAGTCGGGTCGTCTAGTGGTGGAGCGGACGAGGGGACCCTACCAGGTCCAGCTGAGCAGCCGCCCCAGCAGCAGCAGCAGCCGCAGCAGCCGCCCCAGCCACAGCAGACGAGGCAGGCGAGTGCCCTCCCGCCCGGGTGGCCTGGCGCTGGTGGTGGTCGTACGTGTGGTGGTGTGCCGGGTGGCGGTGCGGGAGGCGTGCGCTGTCAGTACCAGATCCAGACCGGTCCTCGCCGCGGTTTCGTTTGCGGTAAGATCGGTCACGCCACTGCCCGTTGTTTTCGTCGCCTGGACGACCTGTTTCGTCAGCGCTTCGGCCCGTCGCCAGACCTCCCGGACTTGCACAGTCTGCTTAGTCGTAGAGTTCCGATTTTTGATATGGACATTGATGCCATTGTTTCTGCCCTGCATGTGATGTATGCTGATGACTCTAGTGTGCTCCCCTCTTATTACTCCTTGTTGCCTAGTGTATGTGTGCCTAGCTTAGCCTCCCCTGCTGCGTCAGGCGTAGGAGCTCCTGCTTTGTTTAGCCTTGGTGCTTCCGCTGTCACCCCGTCGCCAAACGCCACTGCTTCGCTTTCCTTCACCTTGGACTCTGGCGCTTCCCGGTGTTTCTTCCGCGACTCCACTACGCTAACGCCGCTTCCTGTTCCTGCTGCCGTTTCTCTTGCTGACCCCTCCGGCGGTCCAGTAGTCGCCCGCAGTTCCACCACCCTTCCCTGTCCGGCGGTTCCTTCGGGCTCTCTCACAGGTCTGCATATCTCCTCGTTCTCCAGGAACCTAGTTCGTGTCGGCAGCCTCCAGGACCTTGGCATCACCACTACGTTCCCCGGTCACAAGCGGTATGCTGTCTGTACCGACACTGGTGCCCCCCTGTCCATGTTCCCCCGGGACCCGGTGTCCGGCCTGTTCACCTTGGACACCGTGACCTCCCCCGGCTGGCGCGCCCCTTCAGGTCGCTGCGTCTACCCAGGTTGCTGCTGCCTGCTCCTGTCGGTCCCTCACTCACCCGACTCTCCTTTGGCACCACCGCCTAGGTCACCCTGCACTCCCGCGTCTGCGTCACATGTCCCAGCACGGTCTTGTCCTTGGTCTCCCTGGTTCGTTCCCTGCTTTCCCTCCTCCACCGCCCCACCTTGCACGCCTTGTGTCGAGGGTCGGCTTCGCCGTGCCCCTCACTCCTCCTCGTTACCCCCTACCGCCGCGCCGCTGCAGACCCTGCACATGGACGTCTGCGGCCGCGCCCCCGTCCATGGGCCGCGTCGAGAGCGCTACTTCCTCGTGCTTGTCGACGACTTCACTCGCTACACCACAGCCTTTCCCCTGGAGCGCAAGGCCGACGTGCCTGACGCTCTCATCCCCTGGCTTGTCTCAGCTCGTGTCCACCGAGGTCTCCCTGTCTTGCGTCTTCACTCCGACCGTGGTGGCGAGTTTGCCTCAGGTGTCCTTGGTCGCTTCTGTCGTGCGGAGGGCATCACCCAGACGTTCACCCTGCCGGACTCCCCACAGCAGAATGGGGTCGCTGAGCGACTTATCGGTTTGGTCATGGAGGTGGCTCGCACCTCCATGATCCATGCCGGTGCACCCCATTTTCTTTGGCCGTTCGCCGTGCGCTACGCTGCTCACCAGCTTAACTTGTGGCCGCACCCTCAGCGGCCGCAGGTTTCGCCGACCTTTAGTTGGACCGGGTCTCCTGGTGACGAGTCTGCGTTCCACATCTGGGGCTGCCTTGTTCACGTTCGTGCCTCTGGCACGGACAAGCTCAATGCCCGCACCCTTCCCTGCGTCTTCCTAGGTTTCCCCATTGACGCGTCCGACTGGCACTTCTACCACCCGCCGTTTCACCCGTTCTTTCACTCTTGCGACGTCACCTTTGACGAGTCCGTCTCCTTCTACCGTCGCTTTCCCTCACCGCGGTCCCCCTGTCACTCCCCCCCTGTTCCTAGTCACTCCTCCCCGGTGGTTCCCCCCCCCCCCTCCCCCTTCCCGTCCTGCCCCCTCCGGTGTGTCCCACGTCACCCCTCTCCCGTCGGTTGTCCCGGTCAAGGAGTCCTCTGACTCTGGTGGTCCTGCGGCGCAGTCCTCGCCGTCTGCCCCTCCTCAGGTGTCTCCTCCTCCGCCGCCTCTGCAGCCGCCGTCGCCTCTGCCTCTGCAGCCGTCGTTTCCTCCGTCGCCGCAGCCGTTCGTTGCGTCTGGGGGTGCTGGTGTTGGAGTGGGTACTAGTCCCTGTGGCCCTGGGGGTGGTCCCGGTGCTCGAGGGGTTTCGGGCTCTGGGGGTGTTCTTTCTGGGGGTGCAGGCGTGGAGTGTTTCGGCGGTAGCTGAGGAGTAGCTTGCGGTCCGGGTGTCGGTGTTGTGCCGCCGCAGCAGCAGTCCCCGCCGGTGTCAGCCCTTCGCCTGCTCGGCCTTCCGTCCCCTGACCCTGCGTCTCTTCCTCTCCTGCCGTCTCCTCCTCTTCCCGTCTACGGCCCTGTGTTCCCTCCGCCGGACTCGTCCCCGGCTCGTCTTCCCCCTCGCTCCCCCCTTGTGTCCCCTCCTCTGTCTCCTGACCCGACTCCTCCGTCTCACGTCTGGTCTCGCCGTCCCTCCCGTGCTCGACCTGTCTCCCCTGTCTCGCGCTCTCACCCTATGTTGCTTCGTTCCTACGCGTCTCGTCCTCCCCTTCTCCCGTTGCCCCCTTAGTCCTCCCTTGTCGTTGCTCCCCCCCCTCTGACTGACTACCTGCGTGCCGCTCGTCCTCTTGTTCCTCGGGTCCTTGCCTCTCTCGTTACTGACCCGTCTGTTCCGGTTTCGAGTCTTGACGCCCTTGTCGCTGCGGTCGCTGACTTTAGACTCGTCTTTAGACCCTTGTCTCAGTGGCTGGACTTGTAGTGCCGCCCTGAGTTGCTTGTTCGGGACCTGCCCCTATGCAGTCTAGGGGGTGTGTCAAACATGTGTATCTCTAATGTTTGCATAGAATGTATAGGGTTACCTCTTAGAGGGTACAACACTTAGGTATATTCACTTGTACTCTCTCCCTACTCATTCATTCAGTTCTTACTGTAACTTGGGCTAGACTGTGCCTTGGGGTGCCTTGGATTTTTGGTACGTGGCGATGTTCTGGTGGGTGTGATGGTGTTTTGTTGCTCTTGTCTATGCCTGTGCCATTTTGTTTTGTCATACATTCTTTCAAAAGCATTATATATGGACCTCATCTAGCTGTGAAGAGTAGTAGGGGTACTATATGTAGTCAATAGGAGACTGAAAGTAATCACCAGAAACGGGTGAGGCATTGTCAGAATGTTTGTTCTTATCGAGGGAAAATTTCCCTGCACATATAGTCCCAGGAAGGACAGATCTAGCGGCGCATTTCCCGAAGCAAGCAACTTTAGGCCTACCACGTGGAGAGGAAATCGTGCTTAGGTGGCCCTGTGCCAATCATTTGCTTCCCCCCTTGCCCCAGCATCAAGGTTCCAGTCGTCCACGTCGGACTGCTGGCGGCATCTTTGAGCTTCCCCCCCAACCGAAAACAGTCAGCCGGGGAAAGATCTGTGCGGGGTTTCTCTCTGAAGCGCGTCCTCCCGATAAGGGGAGAAGGGGAGTGCGTGCTCAGTTCCGCCGACGCCCTCCAGCGCAGATTGCCCCAGGCGTTGGTGTGGAGTCAGGCGCATAGCCACTGCCCGAGCTGGAGCGAGGGCCACTGCAGTTTGACCAAGGGGGGGAAATTTTTTTACCCTTTTGCCCAAGCCCCCCCGAGAAATCCCCCTTCCATCTTCGCCTTCCGTAAAGCCCTTGGTAAGCTAGAGCTTCATTCGTTCTTGTGTCAACCGGAGGCTTGACTTTCCACTTCACAACCTTTCCCGTCATTTCTTGACACGGAAACACGCCTATACGCCTGAATAGGCGCACTCTAGTCCCGCCTTACCCTTCCTCCTCCCAACATCGGCTTGTCTTGTCCTTCGCCTCAGGCTGCCGTCAAGCCGTCAGCCGTCTCTGAGTCTTTCGCAATGGCCAGTCTAAACGCCGTTCTACTGCCCAAGGCGGCAGCTTCCCCCGCATCCATCCCGGCACTCGCTCCCAAGGCCCTCGCCAGCAAGTCTCACATTGCGCAATCGCTGCCCGTTAGGTCGCCCGCAGCGCGCGCCTCATCGCACGCGCAGCTCGCGCCACGATGCGTGCAAGCGGCCGAGCCGCCTCTGACGGTGCCTAAAGCGTCCTCGAGCGCGGCGGCGGAGCCGTGGTCGCCGGGGAGCTGGCAGACGCGCAAGGCGTGGCAGCAGCCCGAGTACCCGGACAAGGCGGCGCTCGCCGCGGCGCTGGAGGAGCTCGAGCGGTGCCCTCCGCTGGTGTTCGCGGGGGAGGCGCGCGCGCTGGAGGAGAAGCTGGGGGAGGCGGCGCTGGGGAAGGCTTTCCTGCTGCAGGTGAGGGCATGGTGGGCTGGCCGAGGAGAACGGGGGGCGCTATGAGCCGTGGGGTGTGGACCGTGTTTCCGCGAGCTTGAGCAGGGTTTAGCTGTTGAACGCGTCTTTTTCGACATCGCCCTCGTCCCTTCACGTTTTTACGAAGTGTCATCAATCCAACAATGTGTTTTCCACTGTTTCTTTGCTTCATGCTTCCACTGGTTCCGCTTCCCACCCGTCCTGCGCTTCCCCTATTCCCCTCCGCGTCCCCCGGGCAGGGCGGCGACTGCGCGGAGAGCTTCAAGGAGTTCCGCGCGGACAACATTCGCGACACCTTCCGCGTGCTGCTGCAGATGGCCGTCGTGCTCACCTTCGGCGGCCAGATGCCCGTCGTTAAGGTCAGATGCCCGTCATCAAGGTCAGACTCGCGTAGATGACGATCGTTAGTGGGAGACGCGCGTAGATGCCGGTCGTTCGACGTGCGAGGGGGGAGGGGTGGTGTGGGGGACAAAGTGAAGACGCGCAAGGCGAATCTGGAAACCGGGATAACCCGACGCCATCACGAGTTAAGTTGGTAACAAGTAGGAGGAGCTCCGAAACCCTTCTTTTGTTGTCGGGCGCCAAGCCGCGTCAGGCACATCACGCATGCACTCTCGACAGGCCGCTTTCCGCACGGCGTTGGTTCCTTCCCCTCATCTCACGCCGCTGCCACCTGCGCGGGTATCGCAACGGGCATCTTGCGACTCCTCATACCTTCTATACAGTGCGTCTGCAACTTGTTTATCCTTCACTTCCCGCCTTTCTCTCGAAGTGTCGCTGCCCCTGTCCGTCGCTGTCGTCTTCCGATCCCGAAACTCGCCCCTTCCCTTTCTCCCCCCGCCCCTCTCCCCGTCATCCTAATCGCCAGGTCGGCCGCATGGCGGGGCAGTTCGCCAAACCGCGCTCCGACCCCATGGAGACGCGCGGCGACGTGAGTCTGCCGTCGTACCGCGGCGACAACATCAACGGCGACGCGTTCACGGCGGAGTCGCGCATCCCCGACCCGCAGCGGCTGGTGAAGGCGTACAGCCAGGCGGCCGCGACGCTCAACCTGCTGCGCGCGTTCGCGACGGGCGGGTACGCCGCCATGGAGCGCGTGAGCCAGTGGGAGCTCGCGTTCATGGAGGACAAGGAGCAGGCCGGCAGGTGAGCCAATACGAGCAGGCCGGCAGGTGAGCTGAGTGGACGGCAACGAGCAGCCGGCAGGTGAGCTGAGTGGACGGCAACGAGCAGCCGGCAGGTGAGCTGAGTGGACGGCAACGAGCAGCTGGCAGGTGAGCTGAGTGGACGGCAACGAGCAGCTGGCAGGTGAGCTGAGTGGACGGCAACGAGCACCCGGCAGGTGAGCTGAGTGGACGGCAACGAGCAGCCGGAAGGTGAGCTGAGTGGACGGCAACGAGCAGGCCGGCAGGTGAGCAGGCCTGCAGGCGGCAGGTGAGCAAGCTGCTAAGAGAGTATCTCGGAGCAGGCTGCTACTCCTGTCACTCAGAAGCAGGCCCCCAGATGAGCTCTGTACGAGCAGGACATTCTTGAATCATTCGTGAAACATTGGTGTTACATTCGTGAATAGATGGATGCGACCATAATCGCTAGTCGGGCCGACCAGCTATAGCTGCTACCTGGTTGTGGACGAGGTACGGGCGCACAGTGCCACAAAGTTGTGTCGTGAATGGAAGGAAGCCGTGAAGCGGACGAAGCTGATTCTTGTGTGGCGCGAAGGCGAGCTCACGTCCGTCCTTGTGCGTGGCAGGGCTGCTCTTAGTGGGGGCGAGAGGGTCTAAGGTAGCCAGATGATACATTGCCGACTCTCCACCTAATTGGACTGGGACGGCGAATCTGTTCAAGATGGAAAATTTTGGGCGGGCTGTTGGTGGACAAGTGGCATTCTTCCTCCTCCCCCCCTCCTGTCCTTCCCTCCCCCCCTCTCCCCCCTGCCCCCTCCTGTCCACGCTCCACCAGGTACGAGGAGCTGGCGTCGCGGGTGGACGAGGCGTTGGGCTTTATGGCGGCGTGCGGGCTGACGTCGGAGCATCCGAGCATGCGGTCCACGGACTTCTTCACGTCGCACGAGTGTCTGCTGCTGCCGTACGAGCAGGCACTCACCCGCATTGACTCCACCACCGGCCTCTGGTGCGCCGCCTTGCTTCCTCACTGTTCCGCTTGAGAATTCAATTCGTCAACCTGTTGGTGCGAATGTGCTTGAGATGACACGCTTGGTACTCACTCGTTCAATTTATTACCATGAGCGAAGCACTTGTGCATGCGTGGTCCCGAGACCAACTTTTTTTACTCGCCTCTCCCCTCTGGCTGTTGGATTGTGCATGGACTCCCTTTACCCCCGTGACGCACCTTTTCATTCCCGTGGTGAGCCCACGAATGTCCCCTCCCCTCCTCCCTGCCACCAGCCACAAGGACTGCTTGGGGAACGTTATCTGGGTTACAGCTACCTCAAAACATATCTCCCATCCCCCCCGTAATCATTCCCTTCTCCCCTCTCTCCCCCCACCCCACTCCCCTCCGCCCCGGCCGCCACTGTCCTCCCTCTTCCCCCCACCTTGCGCACTCTAGGTACGACTGCTCGGCGCACTTCATCTGGGTGGGCGAGCGCACCCGGCAGCTGGACGGCGCTCACATCGAGTTCCTCAGAGGCGTCGCCAACCCGCTCGGCATCAAGGTGCGTCGCCAACCCGCTCGGCATCAAGGTGCGCCGCCAACCCGCTCGGCATCAAGGTGCGCCGCCAACCCGCTCGGCATCAAGGTGCGCCGCCAACCCGCTCGGCATCAAGGTGCGCCGCCAACCCGCTCGGCATCAAGGTGCGCCGCCAACCCGCTCGGCATCAAGGTGCGCCGCCAACCCGCTCGGCATCAAGGTGCGCCGCCAACCCGCTCGGCATCAAGGTGCGCCGCCAACCCGCTCGGCATCAAGGTGCGCCGCCAACCCGCTCGGCATCAAGGTGCGCCGCCAACCCGCTCGGCATCAAGGTGCGCCGCCAACCCGCTCGGCATCAAGGTGCGTCGCCAACCCGCTCGGCATCAAGGTGCGTCGCCAACCCGCTCGGCATCAAGGTGCGCCGCCAACCCGCTCGGCATCAAGGTGCGCCGCCAACCCGCTCGGCATCAAGGTGCGCCGCCAACCCGCTCGGCATCAAGGTGCGCCGCCAACCCGCTCGGCATCAAGGTGCGCCGCCAACCCGCTCGGCATCAAGGTGCGCCGCCAACCCGCTCGGCATCAAGGTGCGCCGCCAACCCGCTCGGCATCAAGGTGCGCCGCCAACCCGCTCGGCATCAAGGTGCGCCGCCAACCCGCTCGGCATCAAGGTGCGCGCCAACCCGCTCGGCATCAAGGTGCGCCGCCAACCCGCTCGGCATCAAGGTGCGCCGCCAACCCGCTCGGCATCAAGGTGCGCGCCAACCCGCTCGGCATCAAGGTGCGCGCCAACCCGCTCGGCATCAAGGTGCGCCGCCAACCCGCTCGGCATCAAGGTGCGCCGCCAACCCGCTCGGCATCAAGGTGCGCCGCCAACCCGCTCGGCATCAAGGTGCGCCGCCAACCCGCTCGGCATCAAGGTGCGCCGCCAACCCGCTCGGCATCAAGGTGCGCCGCCAACCCGCTCGGCATCAAGGTGCGCCGCCAACCCGCTCGGCATCAAGGTGCGCCGCCAACCCGCTCGGCATCAAGGTGCGCCGCCAACCCGCTCGGCATCAAGGTGCGCCGCCAACCCGCTCGGCATCAAGGTGCGCCGCCAACCCGCTCGGCATCAAGGTGCGCCGCCAACCCGCTCGGCATCAAGGTGCGCCGCCAACCCGCTCGGCATCAAGGTGCGCCGCCAACCCGCTCGGCATCAAGGTGCGCCGCCAACCCGCTCGGCATCAAGGTGCGCCGCCAACCCGCTCGGCATCAAGGTGCGCCGCCAACCCGCTCGGCATCAAGGTGCGCCGCCAACCCGCTCGGCATCAAGGTGCGCCGCCAACCCGCTCGGCATCAAGGTGCGCCGCCAACCCGCTCGGCATCAAGGTGCGCCGCCAACCCGCTCGGCATCAAGGTGCGCCGCCAACCCGCTCGGCATCAAGGTGCGCCGCCAACCCGCTCGGCATCAAGGTGCGCCGCCAACCCGCTCGGCATCAAGGTGCGCCGCCAACCCCCCCCCCCCCCCCCCCCCCCCCCCCCCCCCCCCCCCCACAGGTGCGCCGCCAACCCGCTCGGCATCAAGGTGCGCCGCCAACCCGCTCGGCATCAAGGTGCGCCGCCAACCCGCTCGGCATCAAGGTGCGCCGCCAACCCGCTCGGCATCAAGGTGCGCCGCCAACCCGCTCGGCATCAAGGTGCGCCGCCAACCCGCTCGGCATCAAGGTGCGCGCCAACCCGCTCGGCATCAAGGTGCGCCGCCAACCCGCTCGGCATCAAGGTGCGCCGCCAACCCGCTCGGCATCAAGGTGCGCCGCCAACCCGCTCGGCATCAAGGTGCGCCGCCAACCCGCTCGGCATCAAGGTGCGCCGCCAACCCGCTCGGCATCAAGGTGCGCCGCCAACCCGCTCGGCATCAAGGTGCGCCGCCAACCCGCTCGGCATCAAGGTGCGTCGCCAACCCGCTCGGCATCAAGGTGCGCCGCCAACCCGCTCGGCATCAAGGTGCGCCGCCAACCCGCTCGGCATCAAGGTGCGCCGCCAACATGCTCGGCATCAATGTGTGCCGCTGGCTTGCTTTCACATTGCCTCCAGATGTGCGGGCCTTGCCTGCTTGCTTCTTGAGTTGAGGCTGCATTCATGCCTCTCGCCCACCTCGTGTAGCCTGCCTCGAACCATCTCTCTCTCCTCCCCTGCCTGCATCTCCTCCCCTGCCTGCACATCTCCCACGCCTTGGCTCCATTGCACCTTTTACCGCACTCTTGCTCCTGAGCAGCATGATGATCAACTCCAAAGCCAAGCTGTCCTTCTCCCCTTAGCTGCTTACCCTCCTTCCCTCCCACCGGGTCCTTCCCATATGTCTGACCCCACCAGGTGAGTGACAAGATGCCGCCACAGGACCTGGTGGAGGTGTGCCACATCCTCAACCCCGACAACCGGCCCGGCCGCCTCACCGTCATCGTGCGCATGGGCGCTGAGAGGCTGCGCGAGAAGCTTCCTGCGCTGGTGCAGGCGGTGGAGCGCGAGGGGCTGGTGGTGACGTGGGTGTCGGACCCCATGCACGGCAACACCATCAAGGCGCCCAACGGCTACAAGACCCGCGACTTCAATTCCATCCGGGTGAGCCAGGGGGGAGCTGCTGGGTGTGCTCTCATCCAAGTGTGTGGTCGTGGGGCGGAAGGGGTGGGGGAGGGGGGGGGGCGGAGAAGTAGAGGGGAGCTGTTTGCAGGGGGGATGTTCATCCTCGGACAGTGTTAGCAGGGGCACCTGGTTTGGGCATTCCGTTGGCCCATCCTTGACTCATGCCCCTTGCGCTGACTGCTTTTCCTTTGCCACAATCACATCACATCTCCTTCATCCTCTCATCACTGTTCCCCCTCTAGCCGCGGCCCTTCCCCCCCTCTCCTTGCGGTCAACCTCAGCCTCCCCTCCCTCCCATGTCTTCCCTTTCCCCTTACCCACCCTCCCCCCTCCTCCCTCACCTGCTCAGCTCTCTGCGTCAGTGTATTCCCACCAACAGGGATCAGGATCAGAGTCGTGCAGTACTGTGCGCTGCACGTGTTGGAATTGCGTATCAGCGCGGTTCAAACTGGTTCCGCGCGAGTCTGGTCCTGATCCCGAGGCGTAGGAATACGCCCTAAGATGTGCAAGAGAACCTGGGCACACATCCAGGCCCCTTTTTTTAATAATCAAATATCTTGACCCACACCCTCCCCCCATCCCCCCAACCCCCCCTCCCTAGGCGGAGCTCCGAGCTTTCTTTGATGTGCACGAGGAGCTGGGCACGCACCCGGGCGGCGTGCACCTGGAGATGACCGGCCAGAACGTGACGGAGTGCGTGGGCGGCAGCAAGGAGGTGACCTTTGACGACCTGTCGGCACGCTACCACACGCACTGCGACCCGCGCCTCAACGCCAGCCAGAGCCTCGAGCTCGCCTTCCTCATTGCTGACAGGCTCAGGCGCGGCCGCGGCAAGCCCTCGCTCTGGCTCAAGGGGTGAAGCACGCTGGCATGTATGTATCATGGCTCCAAAAGGGGCACGTTTGACAAGGGAGTAGTATACCTGTAGAGTTTTGGTAAATTGCAGTCAGACATGTCCACTGCAATTGAATTGAGCGAAATTTAGGATTTCTCATTTCTCGCCCATTCTCGTACCGGTCCGTAATCTCTATGCAAGAGTTTAACAGCGGGTAACTATTTTTATGTAATCTGCACAAATGGGGTGAGGCTTTGGCCAATAAATGCCGAGTGAGAACAATGATACTGAAAACTACACTTGATGATCCAGCCGGTAGCCTGCTTGAAACGAGTAGGCCCTGAGTGAGACCAAGACCTGGTGCGCGATTTCGCCAGATCCACGAATCAACATGACCGTGGAATCTGCAGGGTCCAGGTCACCATCATTCCCGCGTCGCAGATCAGGTTACATGAACCTTCGCGAAACCTTCGCGAAGTCATGTCGAAGCGCCTGCGAAGTCTGTTTGTACCCAGCTCGAATGTTTTTTTTGCTTCGCCCCCCCGTTGAATTCGTTCCCTCGGCCTCGCGAACGATTCAGGCGATTTTGACTATGCCTCCGAGGAAGTTCTCACTTTCGCGGACACCTGTTTGCGAACCTCAGGCGAAGTTGAAAATGTTTGCCCTGGTCGTCCTTCCTCTTGTTGCCCCCTACCACAGAAGAATAAACCATTTCGCACTCTATCGAACCATAGAGAAACGTACCCAAACGAACCCAGCCAACTTGGCCATCCACTGTTAGCAGGTAATGCGACAGAGGATTTCTCCCGCTCCGTTTTTATTTTTCTCTCACCGAATCTTCAGAAGCCATGAATGCGCACTGGCAGATAGTCCATCGTTACCGCAGCTTCTTCCCATTTCCATGGCGCGGCGTCGCGGCACACTGTCTCCGTGGCACTCTTCTCGTCCGTTGCGCCATGCTCACGACATGGGAGGTGGGTTGAGGACGAGGCGCCGCGTCTTTGTGAACGCTTGGCATGTGAGAGGGCCAACATGCCTCTCCCGTCGTGGACGACGAGACTCGGTGCTATAAAGCCTCCCGCCGTAACGCAACCTAATCATCCTTAAATGTTCAGCGTTTTAAGATTCGACTATCCTATCTCGAAGATCTTACCCTAATATCGCTTAGTTGTATCTTCGGATTCCGAGTAGCACTCACAGCACCACCTGCTTGCGCATCTCCCCCGAGGAGCTCTTTCGACGAGTCGTATCGCCATCATGAGTCGCGCACTTCTCCTCCTTATCGCGCTATCCGCGTTATTAGCAGCAGCCGGCGTCACTGCGACTAAGCCCTCCAGCTCTGGCGGAATCGCCCTCCGCGGCGGCAGCGGCGGCGGAGGCGGCGGGAAGAGCGCCGCAATGGCTATTAATCCTAGTGGAAGCGCCAATGTTACCAGCACCGCTGGCGGCGGGAAGGGCGGCGCAACAGCAGGCGTGAAGCGCGGCGGCAAGGTCGGCGTGTTGTGCGGAGAGTGCAGCAAAGGAGGATCCTCCGGCGGCGGCGGTTCCCGCGGCGGAGGGCGCGGCGGTCGCGACGATCATCACGGCTCGGGAGGGTCGCACGACGACGTTTCGCAGCATGGCCGCGGGCGCGACGAGGAGCAGGAGGACGACTCGGATGACGACGAGGAAGAATTCTGGGCGGAGGGCGGCGACGACGGGGACGACGATGAGAGCGAGCACAGGCACGGAGGCGGGCACGGGCGTGGAGGCCACTCGCACGATGAGGAGCGGGAGAACGAGAGCGAGGACGAGGATGAGGACGAGGAGGGGAGTGAGGATGAGAGCGAGAATGAGGATGAGAGCGAGAATGAGGATGAGGATGAGGATGAGGATGAGGGCGGTAGGGGCCATGGCGGTCACGGTGGGCGGGGAGGTGGACGCGGGGGACGCGGGGGACGCGGGGGAGGGGGCAGCTGCGGCGAGCTGTGCGACCGTGGCGGGTGCAGCGCCAGCTCGGGCGTGGTGGACTACTGGAAGCTGCCCAAGTTCCAAGACTGCTCCAGCAGCAGCAGCAGCAGCAGCAGCAGCAGCAGCAGCGCGCCGAGGAAGGGAAACGAAGCGTGGTGTGGGGGGGGGGCAATGAACGTGAAGGAGTGCTGCAGCAAGTGCCGGAGCACCAACGCCACCAGCAACGGCAAGCCCTTCAACTGCCGCCACTGGGTGCACATTCCGTGAGTCCCCCGTCGCTCGTGCCTTCCGCTTCCACTTACAATTGCACTTTTCTATTTCTGTTTTGGCAAGAGCAATCTGCGACTACCTGTTTGGTACAGCAGCAGGCTTTGTTCCCTCCCTCCCCCTCATCTCTCTCCCTCTCTCCATCGTTCTCCCCTCCATTCCAGCTCAACCAGCTCCCACCGCGACAGCAGCAGCAAGCAGTGCGGCAAGTGCATCCTGTTGCCGGCCATCGACGCCCTCACGCCCGTGAAGGCCACTCGGGAGCGGTGCGGCAGCACCAACCACACCAAGGTGCGCGTGGGCAAGCGCTGCCCGTACGGCGAGAACGACCCGCATTTTCTGGGCGCGCACGGCACGCGCTTTGACTTCAACGGGCTGCCCGACCGCTCCTTCTGCCTCTACACCGACCGCCACGTGCACCTCAACATGGCCATGCGCGGCTACCTCGACTCCCGGCCCCTCCCCGTTGCTGCTGCCACTGCTGCTGCTGGTGATTCTGCGGCCCCTGCTGCTGATTCTGCCGTCCTTGCTGCTGGTTCTGCCACTCCTGCTGCTGCCACTTCTGCCAGTGCTGCATCTTCTGCTAATGTGCTGGCTGCCGCTCGTTTTGTCAACGGCTCGGCTGTCCGCACGTGGATCCGCCAGCTGGCAATCATGTGGCACGACGGTGAGGGCAGCAGCAGCAGCACAAATGCGTCTACCTCTTCTCACTCTCTCGTGCTCACAGCACGTGACGGCAAGGAGCAGACTCGCAGCTCAACGGGCTTCCTTGCATCGGCTACTTTTGACAACATCCCTCTCCCTCGCTTGTCTCTTGGCCAGAGCCACCTTCTTTCCAATGGGCGGCTGAATCTGTCCTTTGTGGGCCAGGAGAAGACCGGCCCGTACGACGTGGACGTGTACTCGCTCCGCCTGGAGAATCTCCTGGAGCTCGACCTGAAGCTGCGCGCTGCCCACCCTCTGTTGCAAACACCTGAGGACGCCCAGGTGCACATCAATGTGATGTTTGTGGACTCGAACCCGAGCGGGCAGGTGCACGGGGTGATGGGGCAGACCTTCCGCAGCGGCAGGGAGCGGCGAACCATGGAGTATTCAAGGCTTGCTGCCCTGCTGCACCACCCAGTGTCGGTGGACGGGGAGGAGGGGAGGGGGTTTCTGGATGGGGAGGCGGCAGACTATGAGACGACTGGGGTGACTGCCACTGACTGCAGGTTCACTGCTTTCAATGGAGGGCAGCTGCCCCTGCTGGCAGAGTAGAGGGGGAAGGGGGAGGAGAGGGGAGGGGGGAGGTGACGAGTGTGAGAGGAGATTCATAAGAGAAAGGGGTCGGACGAGTTGAGCCAAGTTGGGTTTCTGTATAAGACTGAAGTGAAAAGGTTGGGTGAGTTCTTGGCGCGAGCCAAGTTTCTAGTGAGCAGCACTTGCAGGCAGCAGGTCCCAGCAAGGCCTGTCGGACCCATCCAAGTTCCCCCAAGGCATTCTGTTAGGCGCGTCCTCACCTCATGCCAAGAGGTCGCAGCAGGAGAATTCCCAACCCCAATCCTCCTAGGGTGGGGTTGTCAACTTATACATATTATCTATGTAGAAGTTATAGGCTAGACTGAGGTATGCTTCTAGTGAGTACAACCAACTAGTATTTGTTCTAGGTTTCCACCTCTAGTAATCATTCGTTTCTACGTTAACATGGTATCACGCTTAGGTTAGGATCCCCCCGCCTACCGCTTCCGCCCGTCGCGCCCCCTAGGCCCCGTCGCGCCCCCCCTGGGCCCCGTCGCGCTCGTTAGGCCCCGTCGCGCCCCCCCTGGGCCCCGTCGTGCCCGCTGGGCCCCGTCGCGCCTCCTAGGCCCCGTCGCGCTCCCCCTAGGCCCCGTCGCGCCCGCTGGGTCCCGTCGCGACCCCTAGGCCCTAACGCGCCCCCGCTGGGCCCCGTTGCGCCTCCTAGGCCCCGTCGCGCCCCCCATGGGCCCCGTCGAGCCCGCTGAGCCCCGTCGTGCCTCCTAGGCAGCGTCGCGCCTCCTAAGCCCCGTCGCGTCCCCCCCCTCTGGGCCCCGTCGCGCCCGTTCGGCCCCGTCGCGCCCCTCCTAGGCCCCGTCGCGCCCGCTGGGCCCCTTCGCGCTTCCTAGGCCCCGTCGCGCCTGCTAGGCCCCGTCGCGCCCCCCCTGGGCCCCGTTGCGCCCGTTAGGCCCCGTCGCGGCCCCCCTGGGCCCCGTCGTGCCCGCTGGTCCCCGTCGCGCCTCCTCGGCCCCGTCGCGCCCCCCTGGGCCCCGTCGTGCCCGCTGGGCCCCGTCGCGCCCCTTAGGCCCCGTCGCGCCCGCTGGCCCCTGTCGCGCCTGCTGTTAGCGCTCGCCCGCCTGGCCTCCTCCTAGTGCCGCTCGGCCTCCTCCTAGTGCCGCCCGGCCTCCTCCTAGTGCCGCCCGGCCCCTTCCTAGCGCCGCCCGGCCTCTCCTCAGCGCTGCCCGGCCCCTCCTCGTGCCCGACCGGCCCCAGCAGCACCAGCCTGGCCCCTCCCAGCACCAGCCCGGCCCCAGAGCACCTGCCCGCCTCCCCTGCTCGGCCTGCCGTGTCCTCTCGGGCCCTGTGTCTTCTGCTTGCCTGCGCTGGGACGCCTAGCTGCTGCCCTACTGGAGAGTGCTGCCGCCGTGTCCCCGCGCCGCTGTGCTCCTGTGCCGCTGAGGAGCTGTGCTGCTGTGCCGCTGTGTCGCTGAGGAGCTGTGCCGCTGACCCTGCACGATGGCTGACTTTGTGCTCCGCCTGGACGCTGAGGGCCACGCGGTTGACTTCGCCGCCTGGCTCTCCGATCTTCGCCGCCAGCTTACAGGTCAGCGCCAGGATGGCCACTCTCTGGTTGTCCATGCTGATGGCTTGCTCCCCCGTCCCCCTGCACCTACTCCCCTCCCTGCTGACCCCTCCTCTGATGACCGTGAGGCTTTCTCTACTGCTGCGCTGGCCTGTGCGATCTGGGACTCACGCGATGCAGTAGCTCAGGTTGCTATTAGTCACGCCCTCCCTGTGTCTGAGCGCTCGCGTTTTGCTACTGTTGAAACGGCCAAAGCTTATTTAGACGCCGTTATTGCTCGCTATTCCACCCCTGCCTCCGCTTCTGCTGGCCGCTTGCTCTTTCCGATGCTGTTCCCAGACCTGGCTGCCTTCCCTACTGTCGCAGATTTTGCCACTCATTTGCGTGCCCTAGAGACTCGCTATCGCACTGCCAGCACTGCTGCCCAGCTCACTGCGCTCCCCCCTCCTTTCTGCATGACGCTCTATTTTATCGCTATGCGCCTGCCAGACCGCCTCGCTAGTGCTCGCGACCACTTTCTTAGCCAGCACCCGGGTGACCTCACCCTGACCGCCTTTGTCGACACCCTCACTGAGATCGAGACTCGCCAGCGCACTATCGCTCAGTCGAGCGGTGCGCCGCCAGTCTCTATCTTTCACGGCTGTGCCCCATCCCCGTGCACGTTCACTGACGTTTCGGCTGTGGTCGCCACGGCGACCCCTCTTACCGAGACGGCTGCTACTGTACACCCGCAGCAGCGCTCGCGTCGCGGTGGCCGTGGCCGCCAGGGAGGTAGGGGTGGTGACGCAGGTGGTAGTGGTCGTGGTGGTGGTGACGGTAGTCCGCCTGAGGAGACTACCACCGGTGGGCAGGAGCAGCAGTCCCAGCAGCAGCAGGACCAGCCCCAGCCGCAGCCGCCGTCCCAGCAGCACCCGCCGCAGCCGTGGGCTCGTCTCCCGCCTGGTTGGCCCGGCACCTCCGGAGGCGGTGGCCGTGGTGGCGGCCCGCGCAGCTTGGCGTCTACCAGCGGCTCCAGTGCTGTGACCTGCCAGTACCAGCTTCAGACCGGGCCTCTCCGCGGCACTCTGTGCCGCCGCCCGCACCCGACCGCCCGCTGTTTCCGCCGCCTCGACGATCTTTTTCGTCGTCGCTTTGGCCCGGCCCCGGACCTCCCTGACTGGCACAGCCTGCTCCGCCAGGGCGTGCCGATCTTTGAGTTAGACATGGATCAGATAGGTGCTGCTTTGCATGCTTTGTATGCTGACGCTTCTAGTGTTGATGGATCTTACTACCCTGTGTACTCTAGTTTAGGTGTTTCACCCTTGTGTAGCTTAGCTTCCCCTGCTGCGACAGGCGTAGGACTGCCTAGGTTGCCTAGTCTAGTCGCTGCACCGGCTCCGTCCCCGGCCCCCGCCACTGCGTCGCTGTCCTTCACTCTCGACTCTGGTGCTTCTGCCTGCTTCTTCCGCGACCGTTCCACGCTCACGCCGCTTGCTGCACCTGCTGTTGTCTCTCTCGCTGACCCCTCTGCGGGTCCGGTCGTCGCGCGCAGTTCTACGTCCCTTCCCTGTCCGGCAGTTCCCTCGGGCTCCCTTACTGGCCTCCACGTTCCCTCGTTCTCCAGGAACCTGGTTGGTGTCGGCTGTCTCCAGGACCTCGGCGTCACCACCACGTTCCCCGGGCACGAGCGGTTCGCTGTCTGTTCTGAGGCTGTCTCAGGTTCCCCCCTTGCGACGTTCCCCCGGGACCCGGTGTCCGGTCTGTTTACCCTACACACCGCTTCCCCCCCGGTTGGTGCGTCCTCCCAGGTCGCTGCAGCTTGCTCGTGTCGGTCCCTCACTCACCCCTCCCTTCTCTGGCACCACCGCTTAGGTCACCCTGCTCTCCCGCGTCTGCGTCACATGTCCCAGCACGGTCTTGTCTTAGGTCTCCCCGCGTCGCTCCCTGCCCTTCCTCCCTCGACTGCGCCACCGTGCACGCCTTGCGTCGAGGGTCGGCTCCGCCGTGCTCCTCACTCCTCCTCGCTGCGTCCTGCTACTGCCCCCCTTCAGACCCTGCACTTGGACGTTTGGGGCCCTGCCCCCGTCCCCGGACCGCGCGGTGAGCGCTACTTCCTTGTGCTTGTCGACGACTACACGCGCTACACCACGGTGTTTCCCCTGGAGCGGAAGGCCGACGTGCCCGACGTTCTTCTCCCGTGGGTTGTGGCTGCGCGTCTCCACCGCGGTCTCCCCGTGTTGTGTCTCCACTCCGACCGTGGCGGCGAGTTCGCCTCTGGTCGGCTTGGACAGTTCTGTCGTGCGGAGGGCATCACCCAGTCGTACACGTTGCCGGACTCGCCACAGCAGAATGGGGTTGCTGAGCGCCGCATCGGCTTGGTCATGGAGGTCGCCCGTACCTCCATGATCCATGCCGATGCCCCCCATTTTCTGTGGCCGTTCGCTGTTCGCTACGCGGCTCACCAGCTTAACCTGTGGCCACGCTCCCAGCGGCCGCAGGTTTCGCCGACCCTCCTTTGGACCGGGTCCCCCGGTGACGCGTCTGCGTTCCACGTCTGGGGCTGCCTTGCTCACGTTCGTGCCTCTGGCACGGACAAGCTCACTGCCCGCACTGTCCCCTGTGTCTTCCTCGGTTTCCCCCTGGACTCGTCTGACTGGCTTTTCTACCACCCGCCGTCTCACCGCTTCCTCCACTCTCGTGACGTCACCTTTGATGAGTCCGTCTCCTTCTACCGCCGCTTCCCTCACCGAGGTCTCCCAGTTGCCCCCCCCCTTTTCCTTGCTCCCTCTCCCCCGGTAGCCCCTGCCCCTCTCCCGCCTCGTCCTGCCCCGTCTGGTGTCTCCCACGTCACTCCCCTCCCGTCGGTTGTCCCCGTTGAGGAGTCTGCTGACTCTGGTGGTACCCCCGGTCCGTCCTTGCCGCGTCCCCCTTCCCCGGTGCCTCCGCCCCCACTGTCGCAGTCGCCGACCCCGCTGCCGCCGCCGTCGCCGTCGCCGCCGCAGCCGTCGCCGCTTTCGTCGCCGCCGCCGCCGCTGTCGCTGCCGCAGCCGTCGCCGCTGTCGCCGCCGCCGCAGCCGTTGCCGCCACTGCCGCCGCTGCTCTCGGCCCCTGGGGGTGCTGGTGTGGAGGAGGGTGTTCGTCCTGCGGCTTCTGGGGGTGCTGCTGGTGTTGGAGGGGGTTCTCGCTCTGGGGGTGTTGGTTCTGGGGGTGCTGCTGTTGAGTGTTCTGCCGACGGTCGTTCTGCCTCTGCTGGTCCGAGAGTTCCGGCCCAGCCGTCGTCGCCGCCGCAGCAGCCGTCGCCGCCGGTTTCCGCTCTCCGCCTGCTCGGCCTTCCCTCCCCGGACCGCGCGCCGGTGTCTCCCCCACCGCCTCCTGACCTCCCTGTCTACGGTCCTGTGTTCCCGCCGCCAGACTCGTCTCCGGCCCGTCTTCCTCCTCGTTCCCCTCCTGTGTCTCCTCCGCTGTCCCCTGACCCTACCCCTCCGTCTCACGTTTGGGCTCGCCGTCCCTCCCGTGCTCGTCCCGTCTCTCCTGTCCTGCCCACCCACCCTATGTTGCTCCGTTCCCACTCGTCTCGTCCTCCCCTCCTCCCGTCCCCTCCTCCCTCGTCCCTTGCTGTTGCACCTCCTCCGTTCTCTGACTACCTCCGTGCTGCTCGTCCCCTTGTCCCTCGGGTCCTTGCCTCTCTTGTTACCGACCCTGCTGTTCCTGTCTCGCGCCTTGACGCGCTTGTCGCTGCTGTCGCTGACTTCGCTTCTACCCGCCGCCTTGACTACGCTACCGCTCTGGTCTCTGACCCTGCCCGTCCTCTGTCCGTCGGGGGTGCTCCTGCCCTTGGCAGTGACGTCCTAGAGGACAGGCAGTACGAGCTGGCTTTCCTTTCCGAGGCTGCTCCCCATCTCTGCTCCATGCTGTTAGTCCCTGAGGGTGACCCAGACGCCTTCGACATCCCGACCCCTCGCACCTACGCTGAGGCCACCTCGGGACCTTGGGCCTCTCAGTGGATAGCTGCCATGGAGCAGGAGATGGCATCTTGGAGATCCACCGGCACTTACGTCGACGCAGTTCCCCCGCCTGGGGTGAACGTAGTCGATGGTCGGTGGCTCTTCAAGGTGAAGCGCCCCCCTGGAGAGCCGCCTGTCTTCAAGGCGCGCTACGTGGCCAGAGGTTTCAGTCAGCGCGAGGGGGTTGACTTCTTCCAGACCTTCGCCCCGACCCCGAAGATGACCACTCTTCGGGCGCTGCTACACGTAGCAGCACAGCGTGACTACGAGCTTCACTCCCTCGACTTCTCTACTGCCTTTCTTCAGGGCAGCCTACACGAGCAGGTCTACCTGCGCCGACCACAGGGCTTCACTGGTACCTTCCCTCCTGGGACCCAGTGGCTTCTCAGGCGCCCGGTCTACGGCCTGCGTCAGGCTCCCCGCGAGTGGCACGACACGCTACGTGCCACGTTAGCAGACCTGCAGTTCTTTCCGTCCTCTGCTGACCCTTCACTGTTTGTGCGTTCCGGCCAGACTCCGTTCTACATCCTTGTCTACGTAGACGACCTGGTCTTCGCTACTCCTGACAGGGACGCACTGGCCTCTGTGAAGGCTGAGCTGCTGAAGAGACACACCTGCACTGACCTTGGAGAGCTGCGTCGCTATCTTGGCCTGCAGATCTCTAGGGACAGAGCAGCACGCACCATCACTCTGACCCAGTCACACTTGGTGCGTCAGGTCCTTCAGAGGTTCGGTCTTCAGTTCTCCTCCGCACAGCCCACACCTCTACCCGTAGACCATGGGCTCTCTGCTCCCGTTCCTGAGGAGCCAGTAGAGCCCAGTGGCCCCTACGCAGAGCTGGTGGGTTGCCTCATGTACCTGATGACTTGCACTCGCCCAGATCTCGCATACCCTCTCAGCATCCTGGCTCGCTTTGTGGCTACAGGCAGACACCGACCTCAGCACTGGTCTGCCGCTAAGAGGGTTTTGCGTTATCTTGCTAGTACATCAGGCATGGGGTTAGTGCTAGGAGGACGCAGGCCAGTGGTCCTTACTGGGCACACAGACGCTTCTTGGGCAGACGACGCTGAGACGCTCAGGTCGTCGCAGGGCTACTGTTTCAGCCTTGGTTCGGGTGCTATCTCTTGGAGATCCACTCGCTCGTCGTCTGTGGCTCAGTCTAGCTGTGAGGCTGAGATCTACGCTGGTGCCATGGCGGCACAGGAGCTCCGCTGGCTGACCTTCTTGCTCACAGACTTAGGTGAGCGGCCTAGCTCTGCCCCGGTCCTGTACGCTGACAACAGGGCCATGATACTCCTGTGTCAGGAGCCTCGGCTTGAGGGCAGAGCGAAGCATATCCAGCTGCGGTACTTCCTCCTGCGCGAGCTACAGCAGCGCCGCCAGGCCCGCGTAGTTCACTTGGCCTCAGGTGCCAACACAGCTGATATCTTTACTAAGGCGCTTGCGCCTAAAGATCATCAGCGGCACTGTGTACAGCTTGGTCTTGTTCCTATAGCTGCTCCCCTGTTAGGATCCTGATTGTGTACTCTCTATTATATATGCTTGTCAGACTGGCCTTGTGGCCTTACCTCCAGTGGCTGGACTAGTAGTGCCACCCTGGCTTGCTTCAGTTTTGGTTGTATTCTTGCTGACTGGTCTCCAGACCCCTGCCTCAGTGGTTGGACTAGTAGTGCCGCCCTGAGCTGTTTGCTTCTTGTTTAGTTTCACCCCTTGTCTAGCCTAGGGGGTGTGTCAACTTATACATATTATCTATGTAGAAGTTATAGGCTAGACTGAGGTATGCTTCTAGTGAGTACAACCAACTAGTATTTGTTCTAGGTTTCCACCTCTAGTAATCATTCGTTTCTACGTTAACAGGGGTAACTACCCTTGGAGTTAGTATGTATGCGCTTGTTGCTTTGCAACGGCTTGCTGATTAGCTGCCTATCATGGAGTAACACCCATGATGCATGAAGATCTTTTATATTGAAGACGTTCGTCATCGTCACACTTTCGATGGATGAGTTTCACAGGCGCTTGTTCCTCTCTGTTACAGCTGAGCTCGTCCACCAGAGCTGCCCACCCTTCTCGTGATCTTGTTCTCCATTCACCCCTCGTCCTTCTTTGCAACACGACCCTTTTTTGCTTGTGGCACTTATGCTTCTGCTTCTGCTTGCTTTTCCAGCAAGTCTCATCCCTTATCTTGGCTCTCCTCTTGTGGGTAGCCCGCTGGCTATGAAAAACGTGCAACGCGAATAAGGGGCAGCCCTGCCAGGTGCGGCAATGCTGCAAGGAAGGCATTTCTGCCAAGCACTCTGTTGATGAGTTGATTAGGTCCCATTGCGTTGAATTGGCCACACTCATTGGTGATGGTTGCGCTTGGTTGTTTGGATTTGGGCAGTTGCAGAAGAGAGCAGTTTGCAGCCAATGCGCAACGAACGATCGAGTACAAATAGGCGTTCCCACACCGCTTTGACAAAATCAGAGCAGCAAGCATGGCGCGCGTCTGAGAAGGCGTTAAGGAAGGCCGACGTGGAGACGAGGAACAGTGGAGATGAGGAACGGTGGAGATGAGGAACGGTGGAGATGAGGAACGGTGGAGATGAGGAACAGTGGAGGTGAGGAACGGTGGAGATGAGGAACGGTGGAGATGAGGAACGGTGGAGATGAGGAACGGTGGAGATGAGGAACAGTGGAGGTGAGGAACGGTGGAGATGAGGAACGGTGGAGATGAGGAATGCTGCTGCCGCTGAAAGGAGCATGCATGGCATTGCGGCGAGTCACCCGTGACAGTGCATGTGGGCGGCAAGGGAGTCAGAAGTCAGAGGCTCGGTGCGCAGCTGCGCTCTCGTGATGCTGCAGACGGGAAAACGCCCCCGACAGGCGCTCCATCTCCTGCAGGATGGGATAGGGGGGGCATATGGGCGATTGTCCCATGCAGTTGCACGATGGATGTGCAACTGTCACAATCTAGCCATCTGCAAACGCATGTCATGCATACATGAGAGAACATGTGCCATGTGTATGCATGCTGATAGCAAGTGACAAAGTGCATGCAGCACCCGTAAATTTTGGCTCCGCACGTGTGCTAGCTACTAGCAACGAAATAAATACTGTAACACGCACTACATTGCTAACACTCTGCGATAACTGCTTCTTTTTACTCTTCTTCCAGGTGTGCTCCATCCTCCTTGGTGTAGTTGCACTTGATATCCGGCCTAATCTAGAGCGACCTAGCCGCAGCTGTCTTCTAAGGTTTCAAAAGTAGATCCCCCATCAGTATTCTACTTGTCTCGTTCTCTTTCGTAACGTTCCATTGCAATTTCACGCCACTAAAAGACTTCAATCCCAGACCTACTTGCCTAAACGTATGTCGTACCCAGAACTCTGATCATTTGCACTAACACACCCTTATTGATCGATCACACGTGCGTACCTCCTTGGTGCGGTTGTAGTCGCGCGCCACCGCAAGGAACTCGGGGTTGGACTTGAGCTGCTGCAGCCGCACTCGCTGCAAGGCATGGGGCGATGCAGGCAGGGAAGCACCACGAGGGAAGGAAGGCGATAAAACGGGCGGCGGCAAAGAGATGCACGTGAGTGGCAGGTGAGATGCACGTGAGTGGCAGGTGAGATGCAGGTGAGATGCAGGTGAGATGCAGGTGAGATGCAGGTGAGATGCAGGTGAGATGCAGGTGAGATGCAGGTGAGATGCAGGTGAGATGCAGGTGAGATGCAGGTGAGATGCAGGTGAGATGCAGGTGAGATGCAGGTGAGATGCAGGTGAGATGCAGGTGAGATGCAGGTGAGATGCAGGTGAGATGCAGGTGAGATGCAGGTGAGGTGGCCGGGAAGCGCTTATGGAGAATGGCGGTCATGCTACGGCGGATATCGTGTAGCGGTGTTGGCACTGTCACCTAGAGCGTACGCAGTGCGTTGCAGGGCGGTGGCACGAGAGGGTGGACAAGGCGAGGAGGGAGTGCGAGCTGCGAGGAAAGGAGGCAGTGTGGAAACGCCACAAAGCATTTCACGATGCAGTCAGGTGAGTCTGCACTTACTGCTTGGTCGCGGGCCAACCTGACTTCAGCCTTGCGCGCCAATAGGTGCTTCCTGCAATATTGACGGTAGATATTGTTGGAGAATGGAGTGGAGGAGTTGAATGGAAGAACGATTGTGCGGCACCTGGCTTGGACAGAGCTGGTCTGGCACAATGATGCCGCTAGGGCGGGGTGTGCGGACGCAGAGGCACGACTGCCAGTGAAGCTAAGAATAGCAGACAATGCAAGAAAGACAGTTAGGGTAGAAAATCAGGGTAAGAAGTACATGATGCATGAAAGCATTGCACTGGCCGGAATATGGAAAGTGAGATGGAGGGAGAGGGGAGGGACTACGAGGCATGGGAGGAGCAGGGGGTGGGCAGGAGGGCAGCATGGAGAGGCGGGGAACACTGTCAGGCTCATGGATCATGGATGTGATGGTTGCAGCTGAATTGGTTCCCCAGGAGTCCGTTCTAGGGGTTGCTACCGCTCCTGCCTTGGCAGCGCTGAGAGACAGTGGCAGCACCAATACAGGCCACCTGAGGTCCCAGATCAACCACTGGACCAATCGCTTGCGGCTTCTCCTCGGAGCAATTTATTCGCATTGGAGAGAGCATTGCAGCAGGTGCTAGCCTTTTCTCGAAAAGCGAAATCCCCTGAGCAAGCAGCTGGCGTGCAGGGGCAGTGCAATCACCGGATCTGCTGCAGCGACCGCACCGTGTCGGGCGTGTACGTGGCTGCTCGGATCTGCTGCTCCACCGCCCTGCAGCATGGCGCACAGGGTACGACGAGAAAGGGTGTGTGATGCTGACATGGCATGGTGTGGCGTGTATAGCACGATGCCAAGACTCCAACCCACTGCAAGAAAAAAGGGTGTTAATCCACTGGCGTCATGCCCCTCACACATCGCTTCTCCTGATACTAACTCCTGGTCTGATGCTACCCCTGGTCTGATGCTACCCCTGGTCTGATGCTACCCCCACTGGCCTATGTTCTCCATGTTCTCCACCCTCCCTTCTCACTTACTCTCCCTTTCTCTCACTCTCCCTCTCAAACTCGCTCCCTCTTGCTCTCCCTTCCTCTTACTCTTCCTTGCACCGCAGCATGGCAGCTGTTGCCAGCACCAGTCTACACCGCCTCACGTCCTGCCAGGAGTCAAGCAGGGGGGTGGGGATACGGGTGGCAGCGAGAGAGAGGACGCAGTAGATGGGAGAGTAGATGTGCGAGAATGTGAGAAAGGCCCTGCCAATGCAAGACGATGGCAGTATTGTGCAGCAGCTGTGCACAGGGAGCTGGGTGGGGCTCAGCAACAGAGCAGCTAGGCGGATGGAGGGTTGGTGCAGGCAGGCAGATGCAAGGCGGGCAGAAGCAAGGCGGGCAGAAGCAAGGCGGGCAGAAGCAAGGCGGGCAGAAGCAAGGCGGGCAGAAGCAAGGCGGGCAGAAGCAAGGCGGGCAGAAGCAAGGCGGGCAGAAGCAAGGCAGGCAGAAGCAAGGCAGGCACGGCAATGCTTGAAACCAAAATCCGAAGCAGGTTACCTAAGCAGAAGCCATTGTTCGTTCCTCAAATTGCATTGAGAAAAAAGCAACTAACACCACTGCCACGTAGCATATGTAAGCAGATTGAAGCGAAAGGCTGAAAGGACTGGTTCCAGCACATTACTTACACAATGCAAGTGGTGGCGCCGAAGTGGTTAACCGGAGCTCTTATCAACAGTTGCAGTGAGGTGCGCAGTGATGACTGCGAGAGAAATTCACACCTCACCGCAACCGCTGATAACTGTTCGCTGCAAGTGCAAGGAGATGCATGGAGTGGTTACCAGCGGGTGCTGCTTGGTGGTCTTGAATTGCACCATGCTGAGCAGGTCGCCTGTCACCCGCACGTGCTCCTGACAGCCCAGCAGCGAGGAGACAAGGTGCGCGAGCAGATAAGAAGGATGGCAGGCTGAGACAAGGTTGGGGATAACGAAAGAGGTGCAGAAGGAAACATGCACATGCAACGCCGCCTCTCACCTTGGCCAGGTTGGCTCGTGTGGTGGCTGTTGAGAGGAGAAGTCGCGAGATGGCGGCCTCACTCTCTTGCACCCTCCGCAGCTCCTCCCGCACTCTGCAGGGCGGCTCCCATGGATGCAGCGCCGTGCCAGTGACGGCAGATGCTCCACGTGCAAACACCACCCGCAGTTGAAAAGATGGTTGAAAGATAGTTGTCCACAAACAGCGCAAATGGGTGAAGGCAGGCACGCGTTCAGGCACATGCGAGGCGAGGGTGCACTAGCAGCCACGGCCCGAGGCATGATCTGCTCACGAGAAGCTCATGCGCTCAAAGTGGCAAACAAGGAAACAGCTTATCCCATATTCAGGTGCCTCAGATTGCTTCAGGTGCCTCAGATTGCTTCAGGTGCCTCACATTGCTTCAGGTGCCTCACATTGCTTCAGGTGCCTCACATTGCTTCAGGTGCCTCACATTGCTCCACGTGCCTCACATTGCTTCACGTGCCTCACATTGCTTCACGTGCCTCACATTGCTTCAGGTGCCTCACATTGCTTCAGGTGCCTCACATTGCTTCAGGTGCCTCACATTGCTTCAGGAGCCTCACATTGCTTCAGGTGCCTCACATTGCTTCAGGTGTCTCACATTGCTTCAGGTGCCTCACACTGCTTCAGGTGCCTCACATTGCTTCAGGTGCCTCACATTGCTTCAGGTGCCTCACATTGCTTCAGGTGCCTCAGATTGCTTCAGGTGCCTCACATTGCTTCAGGTGCCTCACATTGCTTCACGTGCCTCACATTGCTTCACGTGCCTCACATTGCTTCAGGTGCCTCACATTGCTTCAGGTGCCTCACATTGCTTCAGGTGCCTCACATTGCTTCAGGTGCCTCACATTGCTTCAGGTGCCTCAGATTGCTTCAGTCCACAAGCTCACTGTGCGTGTGCGAGCTCACCGTGTGACAGCATCGGTGTCAGCATTCGCCCCATCAGCCGCCAGACTCACTGACGGGGAGGGAGGGCGGATCGAGGGCGGATCGAGGGCGGGGAGCCACGCATGGGAGGCACACACAGCAAACAAGGAGAGCGGTGCATGCAGCCCCGAGGAGAGGGGTGCATGCAGCCCCGAGGAGAGCGGTGCATGCAGCCCCGAGGAGAGCGGTGCATGCAGCCCCGAGGAGAGCGGTGCATGCAGCCCCGAGGAGAGCGGTGCATGCAGCCCCGAGGAGAGCGGTGCATGCAGCCCCGAGGAGAGCGGTGCATGCAGCCCCGAGGAGAGCGGTGCATGCAGCACCGAGGGTTGGACGCAGCTCATGTCATGCGGCAGTGCAACGAGCGACACGAGGAACAGGGTTGGTCCACATGCAGAAGAAAGGATTCAGTTTGATGCTCTCGGTGAAGTGAGGCCAGATGCGTGCCATACTTATCTCTCACTGAATACTATCACAGCTCATGATACAGTCACAGCTCATGATACAGTCACAGCTCATGATACTATCACAGCTCATGATACTATCACAGCTCATGATACTATCACAGCTCATGATACTATCACAGCTCATGATACTATCACAGCTCATGATACTATCACAGCTCATGATACTATCACAGCTCATGATACTATCACAGCTCATGATACTATCACAGCTCATGATACTATCACAGCTCATGATACTATCACAGCTCATGATACTATCACAGCTCATGATACAGTCACAGCTCATGATACTATCACAGGTCATGATACAGTCACAGGTCATGATACTATCACAGCTCATGATACTATCACAGCTCATGATACTATCACAGGTCATGATACAGTCACAACGCAACGCACAGTGGATGAAGGTCCTGACGGTGGCTGCAGAGGAGGCAACGGCATCCATCACGCGCTGCTGCACCCTCATCTGACACGCCTTGCTCTGCGAGACAAACAACTGGTGTGAGCTTCACAGCATCAGCAGTGTGCATATGAGCTGGCGCTACTGTTCAGCTTGGAACACTACGAGAAGTGTGTAGTGTAACCATGCAGTGGCGCCACGCGATGATGACACATGGTCCATGGGCGGCCTTTTGAGCGGGCTCCCATGGTCCATGGGCGGGCTCCATCACATGCTGCACCCACACCCTGCACCTCATTCTTGCACACCACATGGTCCTTGCCCCCCTCCCTGCTTACCTCCCCTGCAGCTGTTGCGCCGCCGCACCACGCATCAATGCTTGCATACGCAGTAGCACAGGGCACAACACCACTTGCATGGCACTTGCATGGCGGCACTTGCACGGCACTTGCATGGCACATGCATGGCACTTGCATGGCACTTGCATGGCACATGCACACTTCACATCCCCAATCGCCCCTGCTCACCTCCTCACCCGCCGCACCAGCAGCGTGCTGCAGGCACCCGGGCGTCACTCCCAGCAGGTGCTGCGCTGACTGCTCCAACCGCCCTGACAGCCCCTGGCACGGTGGGCTCTGCATGCTGGCAGCTAGGTGCGTGGTGGGCGAGGTGGCTGGCGCTGCTGCCAGCATGGGGTCCAACGCGCTCCTCAGGTACGCCACTATCTGGGACGAGTGGGAGGCACAGTGCAAGGGGAGTTGGTGGCACAGTGCAAGGGGAGTTGGTGGCACAGTGCAAGGGGAGTTGGTGGCACAGTGCAAGGGGAGTTGGTGGCACAGTGCAAGGGGAGTTGGTGGCACAGTGCAAGGGGAGTTGGTGGCACAGTGCAAGGGGAGTTGGTGGCACAGTGCAAGGGGAGTTGGTGGCACAGTGCAAGGGGAGTTGGTGGCACAGTGCAAGGGGAGTTGGTGGCACAGTGCAAGGGGAGTTGGTGGCACAGTGCAAGGGGAGTTGGTGGCACAGTGCAAGGGGAGTTGGTGGCACAGTGCAAGGGGAGTTGGTGGCACAGTGCAAGGGGAGTTGGTGGCACAGTGCAAGGGGAGTTGGTGGCACAGTGCAAGGGGAGTTGGTGGCACAGTGCAAGGGGAGTTGGTGGCACAGTGCAAGGGGAGTTGGTGGCACAGTGCAAGGGGAGTTGGTGGCACAGTGCAAGGGGAGTTGGTGGCACAGTGCAAGGGGAGTTGGTGGCACAGTGCAAGGGGAGTTGGTGGCACAGTGCAAGGGGAGTTGGTGGCACAGTGCAAGGGGAGTTGGTGGCACAGTGCAAGGGGAGTTGGTGGCACAGTGCAAGGGGAGTTGGTGGCACAGTGCAAGGGGAGTTGGTGGCACAGTGCAAGGGGAGTTGGTGGCACAGTGCAAGGGGAGTTGGTGGCACAGTGCAAGGGGAGTTGGTGGCACAGTGCAAGGGGAGTTGGTGGCACAGTGCAAGGGGAGTTGGTGGCACGTTCAACAACTGGTGGCACAAAAGAAGCACGTCTACACCTTCCAGGGAAATTACCACAGCTACATGCTGCATGTGCATGCCCTGCTTCTCTCGTTCCACCTCTGCTCCCCACACACCGTCCTCGCGTCCTCACACACCAGTGCATGCACGTGAATCCCCCCCCCACCGCACCGCGTTCTGACTGTCATACGGCTGCGCCAAGCCCGCCCCCCCATGGCGCTCATCCGCGCCCTCCGCGCTCTCCTCGCTGTACACCTCCACCAGCGCCGCGTACAGCACCTGTGGCGCGCACGGTGGGAGGGAAGGGGCGGGTAAGAAGGCAGTTTACAGCTGCTGTCGTCACTGCACGCCCCCTGCAGAGCCGTGCACACAGCAGCTGTGGCGTACGAGGGGGTAAAGATGGATGGTTCTAAGGTGCCTCGCACGCCGCTCTCGCTCTGTACGCGCAAACACCACTGCGCGCAGCACCGGCAGCGTGCAATTGATGCAGGGGGGCTCTTAAGACGCCGACACAGTTGACCTCCTCTGTGTACGCGGCTGTAGCACTGCTGCATATGTTGCCATCGGCTAGGCACGATGCAGAGGCAGAGTGCGCCCACTGCTCCGTCCCTTGCAGCCCCTCTGCTCCTCTCGTCTCACACATTCTTCTCCACCTCCCCTTTCCTCGCCTCTCTACCTCCCCCCACCACCCTCATCCTCCCCCCACCACCCTCATCCTCCCCCCACCCACTCCCTCGTCTCACCCGCTGCTCCAGGTACTCCCGCCGGGCGCCGTCGCGCTCCAAGAGAGCCTGCCAGACAGCCAATCACGGAGGCACACGTGGCGTCGTCGGATGGACAGCCGAGACGACAATATCAGAGCCGGATTGGTGCCCGGGCGAACGAAACTGGGTCAAGTGAAGGCGAAAGAGCCTGGGGGCGGTGAAGGCGAAAGGCTTGAAGAGCGAGCAAATCACAGCCAGCACCACGCGAAGATTAGTCGTGACTGAACGAGCGACGACAATGCTACAACTTCACAACTCTCCCGGGAGTCGTTGGACGGAGCAGGAGGTGAGTGGACGCAACGAATCCGGCGGGGCTAAAAGGACTCGTGGTCGATGACCCCCCCAAAGCTACTGCCGCACGTGGTTCACGGCCGCACCTGGTTCATGGCCGCGCTGTGCGGCGCGGCTCGTTCAGGGCCAGGACAGTCCAGCAGGCGGCACGCGGAGGAAAGGGTGACGGCAACGGCGTGCCCGGGGAATATTGACGTGGCAGGACCGTTGGTCACTGCAACGCAGCACTCGTTTGCTGGGTCGATTGCTCGTGACTTCGAAACTCGACGCGATCTACGGCGAAACAAGGGACCACACTCGGATTCTGACCTCCTGTTGCTCCTAGGATCTGTCTCTGGAGAATGGAGCGAAACCAGTTTCCCGAGCATTTCATTTCGTGTGCGCATGGTAACACTTCAGCTGTCGCTCTGACGAGACCCCTCAGGCAGGCGAGGGAAAAGGATTTCAGCGAATGAGGTGGGGCTGTTGGCGATGTGGGTCAACAAGCATGTCGAAGTCTCCCCCCCCCCCAATCACTCCCGCCCATGTCAAGGCTCTGCATGTTCGTTGGTCAGAACTGTAACGCAGGCGGTCTCTACGATGCCTCACTCGCCACACCTCGCTGAAACTCGCAGAAGCGCGAACGATGCGCACGGCGTCTCACAAAGTGCAGTCGACGAAACACTTCGAACACACCCTCCATCGCCAGATTTCGTTTGCGGAATTTGAATCGAAACAAGAGGCGAAACAGGCCAAGGTTTGTGCAACGAGGGTGTCGCAAGAACGCGCAGGCGATTCAAGAAAGAGCGGAGTGCCTGCGCCAGACAAAATATAACTCGTGCTGGCCGCCAGCGATCGCGGTGCATGGCGTTGGGAAACGATTCAACTACTTGCGACGAGGCAAGCAGCATGATACGCTGAGTGCGTTGCGCACTCTGATTGGGCGCTGCTAAGCCATGGAGCGGCAGTCGCGCCGCAGGTCTGGGGACGCTGGCAGAGCCTCTAGTAGTCGCGCAGCGCTTCCCAGCACCAGCGGCAGCGGCGGCGGCGGTGGTTTCGCCGGAAGCGGTAGCCGCGGCGGGGTTGCGCGAGATGCGGATTCAGATTCGGCGCGGGTGGCGGAGATGGCGGAGAGACGGCAGCTGGCACAGCTGAGAGAGCTGGACGACATGGCGCTGGAGGAGGAGGACGAGGAGGGGGAGGCAGGGAGAGAGGAGGAGAGGGGGCGTGGCAGAGGGTGGCGAAGGCCAGTCGCTGCAGAGAGTGCAGGGAGGGGCTTGAGGGAGCAGCAGGGCGGGGCGGAGAAGGGGGGGAGTGAGGAGAGTGAGGGGGCTAGGTCGAGTGCAGCAAGGGCGCGGGGCACGGGGAGGTCAGGGGACTCAGAGTGCCTCGTAGAACAGTCAGCGCAGGCAGGGCAGGTGGGGCGGGCAGGAGGGCAGGTTGGAGGGCAGGCAGCGTTAGTGCCCAGGAAGGGGAGCGAGGAGGTGGGGCAAGGAAAGCGGGTGGAAGACGTAGGGCATGCGGGAGCAGACGTGGGCCGGGCGGAAGTGGGCGGATTGGCTGGTGCATGGTCGGGGGAAGCTGCTGCTGGCGCTGGCGGTGATGGGCGAGGGACGCCGGGTGGGGTCATGGAGGATGGAGGCTCGGGGGAGGGGGGTGGTGGAGGGGGGAAGGCGGTTGAGGAGAGCGCGCAGGCAGGCGGCACTGGGAGCGATGGAGAGATGGGGGGAAAGGTAGAGGGGGAGGGAGAGTTAGAGGAAGGAGAGGAGTTAGAAGGAGAAGAGGATTCGGAGGAAGGAGAGGTGCGAGGCGAGCAGTGGATGGGAGAAGAATCAGGGCGCGAGGGACGGGCAGCAGCGGGCCATGGAAGCCCGCAAGGGGGCACGGTGGTAGCGGTGGGGGGTGCGGAGGGGGAAGGGGATGCGCCACGTCATGGATTGGGAGAGGGGGGCGGTGCGGTGCAGGGAGGCATGGGAGAGGGGGCCGCACGGAGGGGGAGGAGCACACGAGGGGCGAGGCGGCAGCAGCAGAGACAGAGGCGACGAGGGGTGCGAGGAGACGAGGAGAGAGACGGGGAGGAGATGCGAGGGGGAGAGGTGGGTGGGCAAGGAGTGAGGGGAGCAGGGGCGCAAGCAGATGACGGTGGGCGGGAGGAGAGGATGCGCGGCAGGCAAGGCTCGGGGCGGGGAGGGATGGAGAGAGGAGTGAGAGAGGGAGAGGCGAGGGGAGGCGTGCAGGTAAGGGGGCATGAGGTGGGAGCAGCAGAGATGGCTCAGGTGCGGCAGATACGAGAGGTGGAGCAGGAGGCGCTGGAGGAGGAGGAGGAAGAGGAAGGGGGGGAAAGGGAGGCCGAGAGGAGAGCACGGGAGAGGCGAAGGCGGGCGTCGTGGCATGGCAATGGGCGAGGCAACAGGGACAGCGATAGGGACGTGCGAGGTGGTGAGGCCGGCAGGGCAGGGGTAGAGGGAGGCGATGTGGACAGTGGCTCGGTGCATTCCTCCCAACCCACGCGCGTGATTCAAGGGGGTGCTGCTGAGATGGGTGATCGCGCAGAGAGGAGGGAGGGCATGCAAGTAGAGCGAGGGCGCGTGCCAGGGAGGGGTGCAGGCAGTGGAGAGGGGGGAGAGGCTGGCCCTACAGCAGAGCAGCAGGCACGGCAAGGGGTTGAGATGGCCACATGGAGAGGTGCGGACGCTGGCAGAGGTGCTGGCAGAGGTGCTGGCAGAGGTGCTGGCAGAGGTGCTGGCAGGGATCATGGTGGTGGTGATGCGGGTGGCAACGGTGGCGCTGGGAATGGTGGTGGGCATGGCAACGCGGGTGCATTGGCGCTGGTGTCGGAGGCGGAGCGGCAGCAGATCGAGCGCATCCTGGCCATACAGCAGGAGGAGCTGGAGGAGGAGGAGATGGGCGAGGGGGAGGACGAGGGGGAGGGGGAGGGGGAGGAGGCGGAGGGGGTAGCAGGGGGCGAGGCGAGGCAGTTTGTGCTGAGCTCAAGTGACAATGACGAGGACAGGTGAGCTCAAGTGACAATGATGACGACAGGTGAGGCATGGCTTGAGGGATGCTTGTTGGGGCATGCAGGCGTGGATGATTGGTTGTTGCTGTGCCTGTCATGGCACACACGGAATACATTTCTTTCCGCTAACGCCCCCATTCCTGTGCTCCCATGCACTGTGCTCCCATGCATGTGCGTCATCACTTTGCAACCTTTCCTTGCACGTTTCATCTACCGCAATCCCATGCATGCAGGGGCGATGGAGGCGCCTTGAGGATGCGAGGAGGATTCACATTCGATCCTGCCATCACATCCCTGCACACATACCTTGGAGGTTCGTGCATGGTGCATGGTGCATGGTGCATGGTGCATGGTGCATGGTGCATGGTCGATTGTTTTCAGCGAAGCATGGTGATTCGTCAGTGTTCCCTCGCCTGTCCTGCGCCCCACCTCACATCCCCGCTGTCCCCTTCTCCCGCCCGCAGACGCGGAGGACATCACAGGAGCTCAGGCGTTTGCAGAGGGAGGCACCATGCTGCGCCTGCCCATGTTCTACCTCGAAGGTACTCCCTATGTACTATCTTGGTGCACCACAATGCCACACACCATTCGTCGTCCTTCCTCGACCATGCACGCTCCTCCCTCCTTCATCCCTCGACTATGCACGCTCCTCGCCCACCCCCTCGTCGCTTCCACCTCTGGCTCTCACCCCGCGCTACCAGCCGGCTCCTCTCCTCCAAACGACCTCCCCAGAGGCCATTCCGCTCGCACCACTCCAGCGCTACCAGTGCACCTGCGCTGCCCACCCCCTTTCCCCCCAGCCCTTTCCTCTCCCATCCTCCCTGGTTTCGGATCATCCCCATCCTCCCGGCACTTCTCCCTCCTCACTCCCATCCTCCATCCCCCCCCATGTTGCCCCTCCCTCCCCTCCCCCAGGCATAGTGCTCTTCCCCGAGCAGGCGCTCCCTCTGCGCGTGCAGCAGCCGCGCTTCAAGGCGGCCGTCACTAGAGCCATGGCGCAGGCAGGCCAGGCCGCGCACATGCTGGGAGTGGTGAGTGGGGAGTGGGGAGTGGGGAGTGGGGAGTGGTGAGTGGGCAGTGGGCAGTGGGCAGTGGGCAGTGGGCAGTGGGGAGTGGGGAGTGGGGAGTGGTGAGTGGGGAGTGGGGAGTGGGCAGTGGGCGCGGGGAACTAATGGGGTGAGGGAAAAAGGGATCAAGTCAAGGAAATCCAGTTGCTAGTTCTTAGTTTGCTGCGCAGTGCCTGAAGGAAGTTTTCCTTGGGTTGTTTTAAAATTTATTATTAAATCCACTCGACACCCAATCTGGGCTAGATATGTCCAATGCTTACGCACACACACAGTGTTCTGGTGTTCAGTGCAAGGGGGGCGGCACTCGGCTTGCACTGAAGGGAGACGTGGGCCAGCACGGGCCTCCCATGGGCATGGGCATGGGCATGGGCATGGGCATGGGCATGGGCATGGGCATGGGCATGGGCCTATGTGGATGCGCGCCTGCTTGTCATTTGGTGTGCCTATGATCTGTGTCTGTGCCTGTGCTCTCTGCATGTGTGTGTGTGCGTGCGTGCATGCACACAGGTGCACGTGCACATGGATCCGCATGGCTTTGACATCCGAGTGGCTTCAGTTGGAGCAACAGCTGAGGTCCGTTTTGGCTTGTCTCGTCTGACCTCCCACGGTCGTAATTCATCCACGCACATGAATCCGGGCGCAGGCGCTGCAGGGCTGCATTCAAGAAGCTGAGCGAATAGTGATGGGCCGTGGTGGGAACACGACTCCAAGAGGTACAAACGGTGCATGAGTGTTACTCGGGCTTAGCTGCAACGCCTGCCGTGCACCTCCCATTCCTCCTCACTCTCCATACGTCTCTCCATCCTCACCTTCGCCATTTCCCCCCCTTCCGTTTCACTCTGTCGCGTTACCCGTGGAAAGGCATGAGCCTCCCCACGGTTAACACAGCAGCAGGGGAAGAGGTGAGTGAAGCAGAGAATTATCAGAAGAAAGAGTTGCATAAGTGAAATACAAAATACGGGAGAGAGAGGTACAGTACTGTACTGTACAAAGTATGAAGGAGCTCAGGGATCGGGCCGCGGGGATAATGGGACCTTACAATTTCGAGGCGCGAGCAAGAATGAGGTGGGGGAGGAAGGGACGTCAGCAATAGCCCCATCTGACGACAGGCAGGGACCAGGGAATCTCAGTTCCCAAGGGAAGGAAGGGAGGGAGGCAAGGGAGCAGGGGAGAGTGAAGTGTAAATAGATTGAGACTCAGTAGGCTAATCGTTTCTCGCTTGTATGTTTTCCTACTAAACTGCAATTACACTCTACGCCTACTAGAGTCCTGCAGTACGGGAATTCAGTCCCACGTGGATCTGAGCAGCCAGGAGAAGGCTTGTAACATACAAGCGAGAAAAAGGCGCGAAGGGCGCGTTGCGACGATCGCAGCGATGAGTCGGGAGACGAGTCCCGAGGGACGTCGTCTCAGATCGGGGACGAGGTATCCAGCGTGGAGCATGGGGGAGGATGTGCTGCCTCCTCTGCGGCCGGTGTACCGTGCAGGACCGCACGAGCCCGACGAACGTGAAGCGGATGCTTCAGCGGCAGCGAGATCAGGAGGCCCACGCGGAGACGACATCGAACCGTCGGACCTGGTTAATCACGGCGGATCCAGACGGGATCCGCGCGGGGAAAACGTCAGCTCGCCCGATCCGCGGACGCGCGCCGGATCCGGACAAAATACGAGCGGAGAAGCGCCGCGGCGCGGATGAGGACCGTGGGAGCAAGAGGAAACGGGAAGGGAAGAAGAAAGACAGCAAGATGAACTGTCGAAAGAGCACGGACCGAGATCTATGCCAGGGCGGGCGGCCGGAGGTTATGTCGCGGGCGAAACCGGAAGAGCGAGTTCATGGGAGAGCGGACGGTCTGCAGCAGCCAGCATACCTAAGATCGAGGTGCCAGAGAGGTTTTCGGGGTGAGCCAGACGAAGAACCATCAATGAAAAATTATATCATGCTGATTGAAGACATACGCTACTGCTGGGATCGTGAGGAGTTCTTTAGGGGCTTGGGAAAGACGCTCAGAGGGGAGGCGCAGACTCACTATCGAGTGGAGCGGGCGAGATTGCTCCGACGGTGTGAGCGGGGGGAAATCCCACCTCACAGGCTGATAGACGAATTCTATGACATCCTACAAGAGCAATTCCCAGGCGACACTGTCGAGAGGGTAGCAGAGTTTAGCGAGTTTCGGAGAAGCAGAGGGGAATCACTGCTGGCATACTATAATAGGCTGGTGGAATTATCAGAAGACCTTAACTGTCTGGAGGACCGTCTCATGGTCACGAAGTTCTTGGGAGGGTTAGATGAAGAATTATTCAATGAGATGAGGGGCGCGTTATAGACTTGAGCATTTTACCCGATCGGGTCGCGGGTACCCGACCCGACCCGACATTTTGGCCGGGTCGGGTAATAGGATTTTGACGAATTACCCGGCCGGGTCGGGTCGGGTACTCGGGGCGGGTAATGCATACCCGTTACCCGAGAATTACCCGAAATGTCGGGTAATTTATTACCCGTCGGGTCGCGGGTACCCGACCCGACTTTGGGTTTGTTACTCTGAGTTTGCTGAATTCTACAGCCACCTGGGGGTACCCGGGTAATATTACCCGACTTCAATTAAATGCGGGTCGGGTACACCCGACCCGACAGACGGGTACCCAATTACCCGGTATTAAAATGTCGGGTCGGGTAACAGACCTCCAAACATTACCCGGAAATTACCCGACCCGACCCGACCCGGACCCGATTGCGGGTAGGGCAAAACCGGGTCGGGTCGGGTAATTACCCGGTTTTGCTCATGTCTAGCGTGTTATATCCGATTCGATCAAGAGCCACGCTAAGGCAGGTATACCAGATCGCTAAAGAGGCAGAAGAAGGAAGGCGATATGTGGATATGATGAGGGGAGCTCGTAGGCCTGCAGAACGGAGAAGGCCGATGTGGTCGGCGACCGAAGCACGGCGGACAGAAGAAGAGAAGCAGGAGAGACCGAGAGATGAGCGTCGCTGCCACAAGTGCGGAGAAGTTGGACACCTGCGCAAGGACTGCGGGGTGGGCATCAAGTGTGACCACTGCGGGCAGATGGGTCACTTCAGGAGAAACTGCCCCAAAGCCCCCACCTGCAACGAGTGCGGAAAGAGAGGGCACATCAGCAGCCAGTGCTACAGGAGGAAAGGAGGACAAATGAGGAGATCAACAAGAGAGCAAGAGCTGGAGCAGGAAGTGCAGAAGCTGAAGGCACAGCTGGGAAAAGCTGAAATCCGAGAAGATCCTGCAAAGGCCATGATGGCGTGGGAAGATGACGAGGATGAAGCAGAGTACGAGAAGGATCCGGAGTCCGAGTATGCTTTAGTGGCGATGCTGCCGCGAGACAGAGATGACTTGGGACTGAGGAGCGGAGGTGCAGACGGCAGGAAGGAACAGAAGACGGTGATGCAAGGCAGGAAGAAGGGAGATGTAGCAGAGGAGAAGGGAGAACGAGCTAAGCGTCATCCCGAGGACAGATTAGTGTGTCTCACGACCGCGCTACTGGCAGAATCTGGGACCATTGCCGTACAAGGGATGAAGGTGGAGAATGCCATCATTGACACCGGAGCCCAGAGTGTACTAATGGGGAGGAAGTTAGCCGAGCGGCTGAGGCAACAAGGGAAGCTGGAGACAGTGAGCAAGGGGATGCTTATCATGACGGCGGAAGGAGGGCCACCCAAGTGGATGCCGAGTACGAAGGAGCCGGTTGAGATAGCGCTGCTGCCAGGGCAGAAAGAGGAAACGAAGATCCGGGTACAGTGCGGGCTGTCTGAATCAGACGACTACGATTTGCTGGTAGGAATGGAGCTAATCTACAAGATCGGGGCACAAATTGACGCTTGGGGGGAGAAGCTCACCTTCAGAACCGAGTACTGGAAGGAGGGAGGGGCACAAGGAGAGCTGCCGTGGAGGGAGAGCTGAAGGGAGCCACGGAGGGCCTTGAGAGCCACCGAACCGCAGCGGAGGGCAGGGGAGGAAAGGAGCGGTGATGGGGTGAAGGGAGCTGCCCAAGGCAAGACGGTGAACCTAAATCAGCAGGTGGAAGCAACGCTAGGAGACCAGCCCATCACGCTAGTGGAACTCTTCGAAGGCATAGGAGCAGGATTAGCAGCAGCACTGGAGGCAGGACTGGTAGTGCAGAAATGGATTTTAGTGGAAATAGACCCAACGGCCAGGCGCATGGCCTGGCATCATGCGGAGCAGCTGCAACGAAGATATTCGGGACAGATATGCAGAGCGGTGATAGAAGAAGCTAAGCGGGAAGGAGCGTGGGATGTGCGCCAGCTAAACGAAGCAACAGTATGGGGATGGGGCCAGGTGGATCTAGTGGTAGCGGGATGGGAATGTCAAGGCACTTCGCGAGCCGGCAAGGGGCGGGGAATGGGAGATTCGCGCACAGCACTGCTGGATGAGTTACTGCAAGTGCTAAAATGGATCAAGGAAGGAGGATCACAGTGCTGTTACATAGTGGAGCATGTGGACATGAGGGGAGACCCGCGAGAACCAGTGAGAGCCACACAGGAGAAGGTAGTGGCGGAGTTGGGGGCAGGCGTGAGTTGGGATGCCGCTCTGAACGGAGCAAGAGCAAGGCGGGTGAGGAGATACTGGCAGAACGTAGTGGAGACTGAGAAGCTGAAGCGAGGACTGGCTGACCTCAGAAGAGACACGAACTTGCTGGTAGAGGACATTCTAGAACTAGGACGAACGCCAGCTCCGGTGGAAAAGCGAGACCACCCTAAGCAGCTACAGTGCAATAAACCTGGCGAGCCAAGGAGATTATGGCCTACCTTGGTGGCCTACGAAGGAGCCCGAGGGTTTGTGATGGAAGAAGGCAAGCCAGGACCAGGCATGGTGTATGACAGAGAAAGAGGACAGTGGGAAGAACCTACAGCAACCAAGCGAGAACTGGCGGTGGGATACGTGCCAGGGGCAACAGCAGCACGAGGAGTACCAGAGCTAGAGCGAAGAGCCGCCCTGGGGCGGGCAATGGATCAGCATGCGTTACGGTGGCTGATAAAGGAGATGATACAGCAGCGGGAGGAAGAAGAGCCGAGAGGGCAGCCGGGAAGAGGGAGCAGGGGGCAGATCAAGGCCAGCCGAGCATACCTGACACAAGAAGAAAAGCAGGAAGAGGAAGAAGGTTCAAAGAAGGGAGAGAGGACGGAAAAAGAAGGCCAGAGACAGTGGGAAATGAGCCCGGACCTGGACAGCAAGGTGGCGGCAGAGATCCAGCAAGTGTTAGCAGAGCATCGGAAGACGTTCGCATACACCCTGCAAGAATTGGGGAAGTGCAAGCTGCACGAGCTCGAGCTACCTCTGGACACCACGGCGCCCATTTATCAGAGGAGGCGGTGGATGAGCCCGGGAGACGAAGAGATCTGTCGTGACAAGTGCAGAGAGCTGCTAGATGCAGGACTGATACGACCGTCGAACTCAGCATACGCAGCGGCGACGGTGGTAACAGCGAGGACAGACTTGACCGGAGAAGTACTGGCTAGGAGAATGTGCGGTGACTACCGGGAATTAAACCGCATAACAAAAGCGGATCGTTACAGCATGCCAACTGCAGAGGAGATCTTCGACAGGCTGGAAGGAGCGGTCATCTTTTCAACACTAGACATGCGACAGGGGTTCAATCAGATAGTAATCAAGGAAGAAGACAAATGCACGACCGCCTTCCATGGTGTGGACGGCCTGTACAAGTGGAACGTAATGCCGTTCGGGCTGAGAAATGCCTCAGCCGTGTTCCAGCAAGTCATGGATCAGGTACTGAAAATGGTACCATCAGCAGCGTGCTACATTGATGATGTAGTGATCTACAGCAAGACGGAGGAGGAACATGCGGAGCATCTGAGAGCAAAGCTGGACGCGATAGCAGCAGCGGGACTAACCTATCATCCGGAGAAGTGCAAGATAGCTAGGAGGACAATTACTTACCTGGGATTTGAAGTCCAAGGAGGAAAGATGGGTATACAGGAGGCGAAGGTGGCGGTGCTTGATAAGCTGGGGGCACCGAAAGATAAGGGAGCGCTGAGGGCACTCCTGGGGTTTCTGAACTACTACCAACGCTTTATCCCCAATTTCAGCAAGAGAGCTCACCGGCTGAACCAGCTGCTGAGGGAGGGGCAAGCCTGGAAGTGGGGACCAGAGGAGGAGCAGGCGAGAGGGGATCTGCTAGAGGCCATTAAAGCAGGAACGGTACTACAGCTGCCAAGGAGAGACTCACCGTTCACGCTGTACACTGACTGGAGCAGCACAGGCATGGGAGCAGTATTGTGTCAAGAGGTAGAGGGAGAAGAGCGAGTGGTGGCATATGCCAGTCGAAGCTGCACTGCAACAGGAGCCAACTACAGTTCATACGAAGGGGAAGGACTAGCGGCTGTGTGGGGAGTAACACACTTCAGGGCCTACTTGCAAGGGCAAAGATTCATGCTAATAACAGACCACCAGCCACTCTTGCGGCTGATGACCAACGGATCCTTGACGGGGCGAAATGCACGGTGGGCAATGCGACTGCAAGAGTACGACTTCATCATCAAACATCGCGCAGGAAAGACGCTACAACATGCAGACGGGCTGTCCCGGAATCCTCCCTCAGCAGGAGAGCATCAATGGGCAGCAGTGGCAGCGGAGGGAGAAGAGAAGGGAGATGTGCAGGAGCTGAAGGAACAAAACGCGGCGGATATTTGGTTAGACAAGGAGACACTCCACTGGGTGCAAGGGCTGACTGAAGACACCGCAGCAGTGACGGCAAGGGCAAGGAATAGAGGAGGGCATTACCAGTAGTTTTAGAATCAGATGCAGCTGCGCACGTCGGAAGGATGGAAGGTGGTGCCAGAGCCAGGGGAGAGGGAGCAGATCGTACGACAAGTGCATGAGAAGTTAGGGCACTACGGGGGAGCCAGGACAAGGCAGCTACTATGCACCACCTACTGGTGGGCGGGAATGAGGAGAGACGTGGCGCAGTGGGTGCAGGGATGTGAGGCGTGCTAGAGGAACAAGGCGGCGCTGGAGAAGGGCAGGGAAGAATTGCAGTCGCTGCCCATACGTGGTCTAGGATTCAGGTGGTCCTTGGACCTAGCAGGCGAACTACCGTTATCCAGGCGAGGGAAGATGTATATCGTCGTGATGATCGAGCATACGACAAATTGGGTGGAGGCGCGGGCAATAGCTAGCAAGAACAGTGGGCTAATCCGAGAAGCATTTCTGGATCAAGTTCTCACCAGATTTGGGGCATGCGGGGAGGTGCTGACTGACCAGGGCACTGAGTTCCAAGGCAGCTTCGCGGAGCTGTTAAAAAGAAGTGGGCATCATGCATCGAGTGACCTCGCGATACCATCCTCAGTCCGATGGGTTGACAGAACGGATGATACAAACGATCAAAAGAGGACTGCGAGCGTACGAAGAGCAGAAAAAGAGGGAGTGGGATGCAGAACTGCCATGGGTGCTGGCAGGCTATCGGTTCGCAAAGCAGTCAGCACTGAAAGACATGTCCCCATATCACTTGCTATACGGAAGAGAGTCCGTGCTACCCGTAGATGTGCCCAAGCTACTCACCGAGTCGATGAGTGAAGTGTCGGCGGAGGCGTGGGCAGCCGAGGCGATGCGAAGAGGGGAGTATCTGAAGGAACTTATGCCAGCAGCCCTGGAGAATCTGCACACAGCGCAGCTGAGAGATGCACGCAGGTATCAGCAGCGATGAGAAAGAGAGGCAGGAGGGACAGCTAGTAACGTGGCCGTAGGGAGGGAAGTATACCTGAGAAAGGCAAGGAAGGACACCCTGGAAATGTCAGTGGGTACGGAGAAGTGGCGCGTGCTGGAGATACGCTCCTCAGGCGTATTGGTGCTGGAGAATGAGAAGGGGGAGAGGAAGAGAGAGTATGTCCCGAATGTCGCTGAATGCAGGACCAAGCAGAAGGATCCCATGGCTGAAGCGAAGGGAGGGATCGATTCAACCAGGGAGGGGGCAAGGGTGCTTGGTCCCACAGCAGCAGTCATCACCTACCAGAGACGGAATGGACAAAGGAAGAAGGAGGGCAGGGGGGAAGGATAGTTAAGAAGAAGGGGGAGAAGAGGGAGAAGCACGACAGCTGTCGCGTTACCCATGGAAAGGCATGAGCCTCCCCACGGTTAACACAGCAGCAGGGGAAGAGGTGAGTGAAGCAGAGAATTATCAGAAGAAAGAGTTGCATAAGTGAAATACAAAATACGGGAGAGAGAGGTACAGTACTGTACTGTACAAAGTATGAAGGAGCTCAGGGATCGGGCCGCGGGGATAATGGGACCTTACAATTTCGAGGCGCGAGCAAGAATGAGGTGGGGGAGGAAGGGACGTCAGCAATAGCCCCATCCGACGACAGGCAGGGACCAGGGAATCTCAGTTCCCAAGGGAAGGAAGGGAGGGAGGCAAGGGAGCAGGGGAGAGTGAAGTGTAAATAGATTGAGACTCAGTAGGCTAATCGTTTCTCGCTTGTATGTTTTCCTACTAAACTGCAATTACACTCTACGCCTACTAGAGTCCTGCAGTACGGGAATTCAGTCCCACGTGGATCTGAGCAGCCAGGAAGAGGCTTGTAACATAAGGGTGCTTGGTCCCACAGCAGCAGTCATCACCTACCAGAGACGGAATGGACAAAGGAAGAAGGAGGGCAGGGAGGAAGGATAGTTAAGAAGAAGGGGGAGAAGAGGGAGAAGCACGACAACTCATCCCTCCTCCAACTCTCACCCCTCAAATCCGCTGCTTATGCCTGCTGGAGGATGCATCGATGAGTCGTGCTCACTAGTGCCCAGTTAAGTCCTCCCGCCCTCCCCCTCCCTCGCCGCCGTTCAGAGCCGTCTGCGGTGGCAGCTGGAGGGCGGTTCCATTCACGTGGTCATCAAACTGACTCTCCCTCCCCTCTCCACCCTCCTGCCTCCTCTCCCCCCCCCCCCCCCCGCCCATCAGATCCGGCGCCTGCGCCAGCTGGAGGACGGGTCCATCAACGTGGTCACCAAGGGCCGCCAGCGCTTCGTGGTGCGCCGGGCGTGGATGGAGGCCGACGGCTCGGTGCGTGTTCATGGGGGGTGATGGCTCGGCACGTGTGCCGTGGCTCGGCACGTGCGCTGTGGCTCTGGTAGTTCCGTTGTTCCTCTGTGTGTATCATGGGCCCAGGGCCAGTGTGCACCTTGTTCTCTTGTACGTGTGAAGGTGGACTTTTTTAAAGATATGTCTTGCTGCAGTCCTGTGGAGGTGGGAAATGACTTGCGTTGTTCATCTCCAGTTCGTCCCTGCCATTCTGATGCTTTCTCCTGCTCCTCACACCCCAATCCACAGTAACTCTCATCTTTCCCCACGTTCACCACCTACCCCCGCATCCCCATGGCTTCTCCTTTCGCTCCTTGCTCACCCCCACGTTGTTCGCCTGGTACCACCGTGCCGCCTGCCCTCACCCACTCCACCCCCCTCTCTGCTTTTCGTCTCCGTTGCCAAGTCAAGCGCCCTCTTCATCCTCGCTTTCTCCCCCCACACCGACCCGCGCTCCCATGTGCGCCCACCAGCCCACAGCGGAGGTGCAGATTCTGGAGGAGCCGACCCCCCTCCGCCTGCCAGCTGGCGCCTTCTCCCGCAGCCGCGGCATGCGGGCGGCATTCTCCGGCCGTTTGCGGAGAAGGGAAGCGGAGAGGGCGGGGGATGGGGCTGACGACTCTCAGGGTGTGAGCAGAGAGGAGAGGAGAGGAGAGGAGAGGATGGCACGAGGGGGTGATCAGGATGCGGGCAACCAAGGGGGTTTGCGTGGTGATGGTGATGGGAGGAGGGGAGAGGGGATGGGGGAAGAAAGTGGGCGCGGCGAGAGACGAGGGAGTGAGGGGGAGAGGGTAAGGAGAAGGGAGGAGAGGAGGAGGGAGCTTGTGAGGAGGCTTATAGAGCAAGGTGACTGTATGGAGGGGGAGGATGGAGGATGGGTAGAAGAGGACGAGGAAGAAGAGGAAGAGGAGGAGGACGAAGAGGAGGAAGAGGAGGAGGAGGAGGAAATGGAGGAAGAGCAAAGAGGGGAAGGCGAGGGGCAAGAGAGGGAGGAGCAGAGAGGAGGGGGGAGGTGGTGGCGGCGGTGGGGGGCGCCCTTGAGGGGCAGGGAGGGGCGCAGAGGGGGAGGGGGAGAAGGGCAGGAGCGCGCAGGAGGGGATGGGAGCAGGGAGGGGCGTGAGAGCAGTGAGAGGAGTGGTGGCGAGGGGGCGAGGGGCGATGGCAGAGTGGGGCGGAATGTTGTTAGCAGGCTGCTGTGGAGAGGCAGGGGTGGTGGGGGTGGTGGGGGTGGTGGGGGGAGTGGGGGGAGTGGGGGTGGTGGGGGAGTGGGGGGAGTGGGGGTGGTGGGGGGAGTGGGGGTGGTGACAATGTGCGAGTGCAACGGAGAGACGAGGGGGAAAGACAGCAGCGAGAGGAAGAGGAGGACGAAGAAACGGAGGAAGCAAGGGGAGGAGGTGTGCGACTGAGCCGGTTGATGGGGCTGTTTGGAGTGAGGGAGGGGGAGGAGAGGAGGGACAGGCGGGACGACGAGGAGGAAGAGGAGGGGAGAGAGGGAGATGGGAGAGGAGAGGAGGGGAGGGCGAGCAGCAGCAGGAAGAGGAGGAGGTGGGAGGCGTGGGGAGGGGCGGCACGGTACTGGGCGATGGATGAGAGTCGGTGGAGGAGGAGAGCTGCGGCGGCGGCATGGCCCCATTGGGTGTACCGCATGTTTGATGCGTGCGAGCTGGCAAGGCGAGTGGCAGGTGAGGCGTGCTATGCTACTGTTTTGCCAAGAGTGTACGTGCAAGTTGGGGCAGCTGTTGAGAGAAGGAGACACGGCGCAGTGAGGGTCATGAAGAGGGGCATGGGGAGGGGCATGGGGAGGGGCATGGAGAGGGGCATGGAGAGGGGCATGGAGAGGGGCATGGAGAGGGGAGAGCGCAAAGACAGCGAGAAGGGAGAGTGACGTGAGGACAGCTGGCAGCAGCTGGCCTGTGGTCAAGTGCAGTGCTTTGCTTTTCTCGGCACTCCCAGCTCGTTTTGTTCTTGTGGATGCGTCCTCGCACCTGCGGCTGCGCCCCTTGCATGCTCCATCACGCCCTCCCCCCTTGCATGCTCCTCTCTTCCCCCCGGCAGACATGTTCGCCCAGCTGCTGCCATCGCAGTCGCTGCCGCTGCCCGACCTCATTCGAGCGCCCGAGACGCTCTCCTTTGTGGTGGCCGCCAACATGCCAATCAGTGACGCACACAGGCAGCAGCTGCTCCAGGTGATTCCTCAGGCTCATTCAGGTGATTTGTCAGCCTCTCAGGTAATTCCTCAGGCTCTTCCAGGTGATTCCTCAGCAGGTGATAGCATCAGGCTCATGCAGGTGACTATTCTGGCTCATTCAGGTGATTCTGCAGGCTGCTCCAGTGATATCTCACGCGGTTTCAAGTGCGTGCAGAGGCTGCTTTACGTTCCCCGAGGCTATTTGCAGTGCGTATTTCACCATACTCAGCTGTTGGCTGTAAGTCTTCTTGTGAAGGGCATATGTTCATTTTTGGCCCTGGGGGGGCGTCATGCCTTTGCCGGGCAGCTGATGTGCTGTGCCTGCCATGGACCCTTCTCATGCATGCTCACCCTGTTCTACCTGCTCATCTCGATCATTGCTCATGGGTGCACGTGGTGCGCGGTGGCAGGTGGGGTCGACGGTGTACCGGCTGCAGAAGGAGATTCGCCTGCTCGAGTCCATCGACCACCTGCTCTGCTCCACGTGCCGGGTACAGCCTCGTAACTCTATAATAGTGGATAGTGCTGGGCGTGACAGTGGTGGGTGTGACAGTGTTGGGTGTGATCGTGTTCTGGGGTGGTGTTTATTACAACATAATATACACACCGGTCCAACATCATACTAGTTAGCTTGGTCGATGCTCCTAGTCCATCCCCCCTGCTTCTCCCCCTCCCTGATCCCTCAGCCCTCTCCCTGCTTATTCCATTTCCCCCTTTCCTCCCTCTCCCTTCCTCTCACCCCATCCCCCCATCGCCACCAGTTCCGTGTGGCGCGGCGCAGCGACATGGTGTGCATGAGTGCGGAGGGCGCCATCAGCGCGTTTGTGAACGCGCATGGCTTCGTGCATGAGACGCTCACTCTCGCGCGCGCCAGGGGGCTCGTGCTCGAGGGGCGCGCCGAGACGGAAAACAGCTGGTTCCCGGGGTAAGGGGCTCTTGCTGGGGTAAGGGGGGCTGTTGCTGAGGTGATGTGGGCGTTGGAGGTCATGTTGGCTGCTCTGACTGGTGTGCAGAGGTCGAGGGTGTTGACAAGCTGGTTCCTGCTGGACTGCACCATGCTGGAAGGGCTGCTCGTTGCTGCTAGTGTTGAAGTGGAATGAGGCTGCTGAGCATGGCAGCTGGCAGGCTGTTGTAGGTTTGAGCAGCTGAGCTGCCTGCCCTGGTGTGGGATTGTTGGGGGTAACGGCATTGTGGGGCGAACGTGACTGTTGGGAGGAGCACGGTCTATGTGGTGCTGGGGCAGCCGGCAGCAACAGATGCTTCACAGCATCACCTGTTGCTATCTCCCTAGAATTGCCTTCTCTCGTTTTCTTCCTCTGTCTCATGCTTTTTTTCTGCATGCGTAATTGTCACTGTTGCTTCCACCTTTCCCACATTTCGAATCCACTATTCACAGCATCACCCAACATCCCACCTTCTTACATCCCTTGCATTCCTGCAGCCTCTCCCTCGTCCTGCTCATACCCAACTTTTACGGATCATAGCCCTGTCTTCCGAGGCCCCGTGAAACCCCCACCTGGTCCAACCACCTATGCATGCATCGTAGCCCATCCCCTTCACGATGGGCTATTGTTTTGAGGCGCCCAGCCTCCCTGCTTCGCCCCCTCCCTCCCCCGCCAGCTATGCATGGACCATCGCCCACTGCGGGCGTTGCGGCATCCACGTGGGGTGGCGCTTCACCGCAGTCAAGCGCGGGCTCAAGCCACAGGCCTTCTGGGGGCTCAGGAGGGCGCAGCTCACAGCAGACACTGGGGACGAAGGGGCTGCTGATGCCTGAGTTTTAGCTTCGCTTGTTTGCAGCACTGGTAGTTCGTTTCTACAAGCGCTTGTTTCATTTCATTCGTGACACGCGTTGTAGAAGCTTGTGTCGAGTGACCCGTTGGGGTTACCCTTGAGAAGATCCTCGGGGAAGGGCCATGGGTGCAGAGTCTAGGGGGCTATGTTAGAATGGAATAATGACTAGAATAGGAGGGTACAAGGCAATATAGGCTAGTGTGTTGTACCCTCTAAGGCACAAACCTGTATAGTCTATAGTAACAAACTAAGTTATGTTTGGCACACCCCCTAGACTATATAGGGGCAGTGCCTAACAAGAGAACAAGCAGCTCAGGGCGGCACTACTAGTCCAGCCTCTGAGGCAAGGGTCTAAAGACAAGGCAAGAGCAAGAGCAGGGCGGCACTACTAGTCCAGCCACTGGGAGAAGCCACAAGGCCAGCCTGGATAATATATATATGAAGGTCTGTATGTCAACTTATATATGTTAGCTGTGTACAAGTTATAGGCTAGACTGGGGTATGCTTTTAGTGAGTACAACCAACTAGTATTTGTTCTAGGTTTCTACCTCTAGTCTATCATTCAGTTCTTACGTTAACATGGTATCACGCGTAGGTTAGAATCCCCCACCTACCGCTTCCGCCCGTCACCTAGCTCGGCCCCGCCGCTTCCCCCTGGGCCCCGTCGCGCCTCCTAGCCCTGTCGCGCCTCCTAGCTCCGTCGCGCCCCTCCTGGGCCCTTCCGTGCCTCCTAGCCCAGTCGCGCCCCTCCTGGGCCCCGTCGCGCCTCCTAGCCCCGTCGCGCCCCTCCTAGGCCCCTGCCGTGCCCCCTAGCCCTGTCGCGCCCCTCCTGGGCCCCGTCGCGCCTCCTAGCCCCGTCGCGCCCCCCTAGCCCCGTCACGCCCCTCGTGGGCCCCGTCGCGCCCCCTAGCCCCTTCACGCCCCTCCTGGGCCCCGTCATGCCCCCCTAGCCGCGTCGCGCCCCTCCTGGGCCCCGTCGCGCCTCCTCGCCCAGTGACGCCCCTCCTGGGCCCCGTCGCGCCTGCTAGGCCCCGTCGCGCCCTGCCTGGCCCCGCCGCGCCTGCCTGGCCCCGCCACGCCTGCCTGGCCCCGCCACGCCTGCCTGGCCCCGCCGCGCCTGCCCAGCCCCACCGCGCCTGCTTGGCCCCGTCGCCCCTTCCTGGCCCCTCCGCGCGTGCCTGGCCTCGCCGCGCCTGCCTAGCCCCACCGCGCCTGCTTGGCCCCGTCGCCCCTTCCTGGCCCCTCCGCGCCTGCCTGGCCCCGCCGCGCTCCCTGGCCCCGCCGCGCCTGCCTGGCCCCGCCGCGCCTGCCAGGCCCCCCCGCCGCGCCTGCCTGGCCGCGCCGCGCCTGCCTGGCCCCGCCGCGCCTGCCTGGCGCCGCCGCGCCTGCCTGGCCGCGCCGCGCTTGCCTGGCCCCGCCGCGCCTGCCTGGCGCCACCGCGCCTCCCTGGCCCCGCCGCGCCTGCCTGGCCCCGCCGCGCCTGCCCAGCCCCACCACGCCTGCCTGGCCCCGTCGCCCCTTCCTGGCCCCTCCGCACCTGCCTGGCCCCGCCGCACCTGCCTAGCCCCACCGCGCCTGCTTGGCCCCGTCGCCCCTTCCTGGCCCCTCCGCGCCTGCCTGGCCCCGCCGCGCCTCCCTGGCCCCGCCGCGCCTGCCTGGCCCCGCCGCGCCTGCCAGGCCCCCCCGCCGCGCCTGCCTGGCCCCGCCGCGCCTGCCTGGCGCCGCCGCGCCTCCCTGGCCTCGCCGCACCTGCCTGGCCCCGCTGCGCCTCCCCTGGCCCCGCCGTGCCTGCCTGGCCCCGCCGCGCCTGCCTGGCCTCTCCCATCACTCACCCGTCCCTTCTCTGGCACCACCGCCTAGGTCACCCTGCACTCCCACGTCTGCGTCACATGTCCCAGCACGGTCTTGTCTTAGGTCTCCCCGCGTCGCTCCCTGCCCTTCCTCCCTCGATTGCGCCACCGTGCACGCCTTGCGTCGAGGGCCGGCTCGACCGCTCCCCTCACTCCTCCTCGCTGCGCCCTGCTACTGCTCCCCTTCGGACCCTGCACCTCGACGTTTGGAGCCCTGCCCCCGTCCCCGGACCGCGAGGTGAGCGCTACTTCCTTGTGCTCGTCGACGACTACACGCGCTACACCACGGTGTTTCCCCTGGAGCGGAAGGCCGACGTGCCCGACGTTCTTCTCCCGTGGGTCGTAGCTGCGCGTCTTCACCACGGTCTCCCCATGTTGTGTCTCCACTCTGACCGTGGCGGCGAGTTCGCCTCTGGTCGGCTTGGACAGTTCTGTCGTGCGGAGGGCATCACCCAGTCGTACACCTTGCCGGACTCGCCTCAGCAGAATGGGGTTGCTGAGCGCCGCATCGGCTTGGTCATGGAGGTCGCCCGTACCTCCATGATTCATGCCGATGCCCCCCATTTTCTGTGGCCGTTCGCTGTTCGCTACGCTGCTCACAAGCTTAATCTGTGGCCACGCTCCCAGCGGCCGCAGGTTTCGCCGACACTCCTTTGGACCGGGTCCCCCGGTGACGCGTCTGCATTCCACGTTTGGGGCTGCCTTGCTCACGTTCATGCCACTGGCACGGACAAGCTCACTGCCCGCACTGTCCCCTGTGTCTTCCTCGGTTTCGCCCTGGACTCGTCTGACTGGCTTTTCTACCACCCGCCGTCTCACCGCTTCCTCCACTCTCGTGACGTCACCTTTGACGAGTCTGTCTCCTTCTACCGCCGCTTCCCTCACCAAGGTCTCCCGGTTGCCCCCCCCCTGTTCCTTGCTCCCTCTCCCCCGGTAGCCCCTGCCCCTCTCCCGCCTCGTCCTGCCCCGTCTGGTGTCTCTCACGTCACTCCCCTCCCGTCGGTTGTCCCCGTTGAGGAGTCTGCTGACTCTGGTGGTTCCCCCGGCCCGTCCTTGCCGCGTCCCCCTTCCCCGGTGTCTCCGCCTCCACTGTCGCAGTCGCCGACCCCGCCGCAGCCGCTGCTGCCGTCGCCGCCGCCGCCGTCGTCGCTGCCGCCGCCGCCACAGCCGTCGCCGCCACTGCCGCCGCCGCTCTTGGCCCCTGGGGGTGCTGGTGTTGAGGAGGGTGTTCGTCCGGCGGCTTCTGGGGGTGCCGCTGGTGTTGGAGGGGATTCTTGCTCTGGGGGTGCTCCTGATGAGTGTTCTGCCGACGGTCGTCACGCCTCTGCCGGTCCGAGGGTTCCGGCCCAGCCGTCGCAGCGGCCGCAGCAGCCGTCGCCGCCGGTCTCCGCTCTCCGCCTGCTCGGCCTTCCCTCCCCGGACCGCGCGCCGGTGTCTCCCCCACCGCCTGTTGACCTTCCTGTCTACGGTCCTGTGTTCCCGCCGCCGGACTCGTCTCCGGCCCGTCTTCCTCCTCGTTCCCCTCTTGTGTCCCCTCCGCTGTCCCCTTACCCTACACCTCCATCTTACGCTTGGTCTCGCCGTCCCTCCCGTGCTCGTCCCGTCTCTCCTGTCCTGCCCACCCACCCTATGTTGCTCCGTTCCCGCTCGTCTCGTCCTCCCCTCCTCCCGTCCCCTCCTCCCCTCACCTCCTCCCTCGTCCCTTGCTGTTGCCACTCCTCCGTTCTCTGACTACCTCCGTGCCGCTCGTCCCCTTATCCCTCAGTTCCCTGCCTCTCTTGTTACCGACCCTGCTGTCCCTGTCTCGCGCCTTGACGCGCTTGTCGCTGCTGTCGCTGACTTTGCCTCTACCCGCCGCCTTGACTACGCTACCGCTCTGGTCTCTGACCCTGCCCGTCTCCGTCCGTCAGGGGTGCTCCTGCCCTTGGCAGTGACGTCCTAGAGGACAGGCAGTACAAGCTTGCTTTCATTTCTGAGGCTGCTCCCCATCTGTGCTCCATGCTGTTAGTCCCTGAGGGTGACCCAGACGCCTTCGACATCCCGACCCCTCGCACCTACGCTGAGGCCACCTCGGGACCTTGGGCCTCTCAGTTAGGTTTGGTCTTCAGTTCTCCTCCGCACAGCCCACACCTCTACCTGTAGACCATGGGCTCTCCGCTCCCGTTCCTGAGGAGCCAGTAGAGCCCAGTGGCCCCTACGCAGAGCTAGTGAGTTGCCTCATGTACCTGATGACTTGCACTCGTCCAGATCTCGCATACCCTCTCAGCATCCTGGCTCGCTTTGTGGCTACAGGCAGACACCGACCTCAGCACTGGTCTGCCGCTAAGAGGGTTTTGCGTTATCTTGCTAGTACATCGGGCATGGGGTTAGTGCTAGGAGGACGCAGGCCAGTGGTCCTTACTGGGCACACAGACGCTTCTTGGGCAGATGACTCTGAGACGCTCAGGTCGTCGCAGGGCTACTGCTTTAGCCTTGGTTCGGGTGTTATCTCTTGGAGATCCACTCGCTCGTCGTCTGTGGCTCAGTCCAGCTGTGAGGCTGAGATCTACGCTGGTGCCATGGCGGCACAGGAGCTCCGCTGGCTGACCTTCTTGCTCACTGACTTAGGTGAGCGGCTTAGCTCTGCCCCGGTCCTGTACGCTGACAACATGGCCATGATAATCCAGTGTTAGGAGCCTCGTCTTGAGGGCAGAGTGAAGCATATCCAGCTGCGGTACTTCCTCCTGCGCGACCTACAGCAGCAACGCCAGGCCCGCGTAGTTCACTTGGCCTCCGGTGCCAACACAGCTGATATCTTTACTAAGGCGCTTGCGCCTAAGCATCATCAGCGGCACTGTGTACAGCTTGGTCTTGTTCCTGTAGCTACTCACCTGTTAGGATCCTGATTGTGTACTCTCTATTATATATGCCTGTCAGACTGGCCTTGTGGCCTTACCTCCAGTGGCTGGACTAGTAGTGCCGCCCTGGCTTGCTTTAGCCTTGTTTGTACCATTGCTGACTGGTCTCCAGACCCCTGCCTCAGTGGTTGGACTAGTAGTGCCACCCTGAGCTGTTTGCTTCTTGCTTAGCTTCACCCCTTGTCTAGCCTAGGGGGTGTGTCAACTTATACATGTTAGCTGTGTACAAGTTATAGGCTAGAATGGGGTATGCTTTTAGTGAGTGCAACCAACTAGTATTTGTTCTAGGTTTCTACCTCTAGTCTATCATTCAGTTCTTACGTTAACACTGTACACAATCAAGGCCCTAGCAAATAAGAGGCTACAGGAACAAGACCAAGCTGTACACAGTGCTGCTGATGATCTTTAGGCGCAAGCGCCTTCGTAAAGATATCAGCTGTGTTGGCACCGGAGGCCAAGTGTACTACGCGGGCCTGGCGACGCTGTTGCAGCTTGCGCAGGAGGAAGTACCGCAGCTGGATGTGCTTCGCTCT